CAGTTGTATTCTCTTCTGCAACTGTTTTTGCTTTAACTGTTTGCGTTTGATCTTTAACATCGGTTGCTCTTCGCTTTTGTTTATAATCAATTTCTGATTTTTTCAGTTTTCTTGATTTGTTTTCCTTGGCTTCAAAAAACGTTCGTTGGTTGTTGTATTTGCCCTCTTCTTTAGTATTGGCGGTTAAGTTGTCAGTTTCGTCAAAACTCATGTCAAGTTTCAACGCATCTTTTGGATTCGATGGGTCTTTTGAAAAAGAAAAACTTTCTTTTGCTTTAATTCGTTGCGAAAGCATTGCGTCACTGTCAGTGCCACGAGAAGCGAAACTATCTGAGCTGAGTTCATTCGGGTTTTGTGACATCAAAATGTTTTCAGCATTCGAAACTTGAACTAACGTATCCTCGTCATCTTCGTTATCATTTGAAAAACTTTTTGTTTCATCGTTTGAAATACTGGTCTCGGAATCTCTAGTTCTAATTGTTTTGACTTCTGCTTTTGATTTTCTCGATTCAAGTTTTCTTTGATTTGACTGAGATTCATTTTCGTCCGCGTATGAAACCTCTTCGATAGGTTTTATCTCAATATACAGATAAGTGTCTTCAAATTCTTTCAGTCTTTTGGTCTCTAAAGACAAATCTTCAGGCTGTTTAACTTCCATGTAAACGTATTTATCTTCGTAAAAAGAGTTCTTTAGCGTCCAACACAAACTAGACGAATCGGAACCATTCGGGTCATTTTCTCGCGCTGATTTGATTAAAGTTTCCAAAATCCCACCGTTTTTATCAACTAAGTCCAAGTTTGACTTCGAATCTTTTCTAACGAGGCTTTCTTCTTGTAATTCTAATTTCTTAGAAAATTTGTCAGATTTTTTATCCTTTAACACAGCGGTTTTATTTTCATCGAAATTTTTACGATTGCTTCTCGTGTTCAAATTGCTCTCAATATTTTCTGGTGTATTTTCTTTAAACTTCGTGTTCTTAACTTTTGCTGTATCTGGGAAAATGATCTCGTTTTCTGGAGAAAAACTACTTTTTCGATTTTCTTCAGCGTTCTTAGGTTCGTTCAGTTTTCTCTCCAAGTCCAAAACAGCACGTTTCACTTTTGAAACTTTTACATCTCTTTCCAACAAGTCGCAACTATCTGGGATGCTATTGGAAACGTTTTCAGTTTCAATTTCTTTTGCTCTGTCATCACTTTCCAGGTCATCAAACTTTGATTGCTTTTTGTGCTTCTTTTTTGACTTTTTTGCCGACTTCAGCGATTCTAAATCATCGTCTAGATCACTTAAGTTCAATTCCAAATCCTTCTTGTGTTTCTTGCTTTTGTTCTTTTTCTTTTTCTCTTCTGAATTTTCAGATTTATTTTCAACTTTCACTTTTTCAATATCATCGTCAAAAGTTTCAAGTTGGGTCGAAAATAGCAGTTCGTTCTTCGAAGCTGAAATCTCATCCATTTTTTCACTGGTTTCAGATTTTTCCAAAATATTTGATAACCTTGACGGAAAATCGTCAATATTTGTATCCCCAGTATTTAGTTTGATACTCAAAGTTGACTTTTTGGAGAGCTTCATTTCATCAAACTTGACCTCTAAGTTCTGATAAATTTCAGAGTTATCTCCTTGTTTTTCATGTTTGTCCTTTTTGTTTTTTCTTTTCTCCGCCTTCTGCTCTTTCTTTGCCCTTTTTTCACGCTTTCTCTTCTTCTTCGCTACAAACTCCAGCCATTTGGCCGCTGTGCCCGCCGCTAATTCCAAATCTCGCCAAGATTTGAAATCAGTTTTGGTCAGAATTTCCTGTTTTTGTTCCATGTTTAGACTTGTACAATCACTACGATCAGTAGACAAATTTTCGAAGTTCTCTCCAATTTCTTTAACGGAAGAATATTTCTCACTTTTTTTGGCTTTATTTCGATTTCTGTTAAGGGCTTTTTTCTAGTTTCATGTTTCTCGCAAAATAGCAAAACTATAGCAAAAAAAAGTATTTTTTTCTACGGTATTTTGCATGCAAGAAAATTGGTTTCAATTTTTTTTCCGTTCACACTGACAAGTTGTCACACTTTGATTTCTGTTATCAAAATTCGTTCTCAAAGCATTAAACTTTGTGATATTGAAAACAAAAAAGTAGGGATTGGAAAAGAGCCCTGTTATGTGAGTGCTTGGTCAAATGAGGCTCCATATTTAGGGGAATGCGTTTCTTCAGCACACTTTGGTACCCTACTTTGGGTAAAAAGGGACTGAATCGGATGACCTTGGCTCGCTTAGGGAGACTGTCGCCCGATACACAGGCTGTTTCGCAGTAGTATGCCCTATCCTTTTCGTGCTGACCAGCAAACGATATGGCTTTCTCGAATACTACCATTAAAGCCCAAGTAAGTCACGTGGAGACTCTGCGAAAATGGTTCTTTTTCAAAAATAATTTACAAAAAAAATAGGTCCTTTTTGCCTCTATTACAACCTGAGGTCAATTTTGTAATTTGCTTAAATTATAATTAACAGCGGATAAGTTTAAAAATGATCAATTAACCCTACTGAGCTGATTGGGAATTGAAACTTAATGACAAAAATGGCCAATATTTAACGATCAACTTCGCTAATGAAGATTCCTCGACGACTTAAAAATTGAAAGAAAAAAAAACAGGTTGTAAAGAACCTATTTCAGCTCCACCAATGGTTAACTTGGTAAAATACGTAACACTTATAACAACCAATTAAAATTTTGTTACAATCCAATAGGTAATAAATAACTAATCTCAAATTGGTTGCATGGAAAAACAAAATTCGGAAAGATAGCACGTGGGGAAAGTTCAAATGCACGTGATGAACGAAAAATTAATTAAAACTCAGCTAAGACGACTTCAAATTAGATTTAATTAAATTTCAAAACAAAATATGACCGCGCAAATTTACAATTCTGATGCGAGCGTTTACATTTGAACAAGAAGGACGATTTGAGAGGACACTTAAAGTAGAAGAGACTCTTAATGAAACAAGACAGAACAAAAACGGATAAACCGAAAAAAAAACGAATCGATGAATTATATTGATTTAAAAGCGTCAGTATAAAAATATGCATGCTTCACTCTAATGAGCTCCTGTTTGTACGATATTTCTTTAAATAAAAATTGGCTCGTCTACTCCTCATTTGTGACTGTTTATACTCTTATTTTTTGTTCTCCTAGTCCAATAGTCATGAGAGTTGTCACCCAATTACAAACGGTGATAATACAAAACAGTCAAATACAAAACAGTCCAAAAAATCATGAAAGTAACAAAGAAAAACAGTTCAATACAAAACAGTCCGGTTTAAGGTTGCCAGTGGGCGCACTACTCGCCGGCTTGCGGGCATGACCGGCTCTAACTTTCGTATAAATTCCTGCCCTCTGTTGGCAAGCTCGCAACACGTTGGCACGACTGCGGCGGTCACTTTTTGCATCGGAGTGTTTTTTCGTTGATTTTCATACTGTTCCGGACTGTTTTGTATGGGCCTATTTTGTACAGACACGTCACAAACACATTTGTCTTTTTAAAAAAACTCGTAAAATCAGCGAGAAAAACGTTAAATTCATGTTTAAACAAACATGCTGGCCTCTTTCCCTTATTTTTGTCAGAGTTAAACTCCTTTTAAGAAATCCCAATATTTAGCGTTTAACGGAAAAATGAGAACAACTAAAAAATTCCACGGAAAAATGATTCGTCATTAAGTTCAAGGTCTCACATAGCAGCACATTTATTTTGATCAGTTTGATGCCCTAGAGTATTATTAAGAGACAAACTTCACTGTTTAACAAAAATTAGATTTAATGGAAATACGAGTATTTGTGATCTCCAAAATAATTTTTTTCTCAATAATTTTTACCAAATAAATAATCATTTTCCAGCCCCGGGGCTTACGCGTTGTCGCAAATAAAGAATCGTGCATTGGTTAGTCTTCATCAAGATATTGGGTCTAGCAAACGCCCTTGAGTCATTGTAGGTAAAGTTTTTCCACTAAGTTGACTCGGAGCTTTGCACCACTTGTGATTAAAAAATATATGCCAGTGTTCAGGCGTAAAAAATTGACTGTTCAAAAAGGTGCGACATTTTAAATATTTTCATAATTTTCAACAATTGTTTTTAGAATAGGCACAAAAGTTTTGTTTTCTATGGCCGTTCTCTTTGGAACCATAAAAACTTACTTGACAAAATCGAACCAGACAACACAAATAAATATATTCATTCGGTAATACTCAAGCACACGTTTTCCGAAGTTTTTGCTAGTTTTCGGTAATTTTTTCGTAGCTTTGGCAAAGGAAAAAACTCGAAAAACAACAGCCCAAATCAATGCTAAATGTTCTGAACCATTTTTCTCTTAGTTTATTTTTTGTTCGAAACATATTTTGTCCAAGCTTCTTTTCTCACAGCACTACAGTTTCGAGACATTTGATCTCGTTATTTAGTGATTCGCTTACCTTGAAGGTTACAGCTGAACGTGATGAAAGTCGCATTTTTTACGCCCTTTTTTCGCTGAGAATAACCATTGAATAGCACAGTTCGAAAGCATAATTTGGATTCCATGCAATTGGATTCCATGCAATAATCCACTATTTTTTCAATCCTCTTGTAAGAAACTTTAGGGTAAAAAATTAATACAATTGTAATTCAACACATGATGATTGAAATATAACTTAACCCATGAACGAGGATTGAAAAAATTAACATGATATATGAATTTGATTATCTTAAGCAGTTATAATGGCACTTGTTATAAAAATAACGCGGAAAAAAATATTTCTTGAACCAATACAAAAAAGTCACGGCCATAATTTTGCATCAATAAGAAAAACTATTTCGTAGAGAGAGAAAATTTTAATAACAAAAAGGGATCTCAGAAACCCATTTTTTAAAATTTCTATTAAAAAAGTTTTTCAATTATTATTTTTGTTTCGAAAAAGATGTTGCAAGAACAATGGCCGTCACTGTAAAAGAAGGTTCTAGAAGGTTGAAATATGAAACTGAGACTGACCTCTAGGTCCTTGACCTTCTTCCTTTGCTGGTTGGTGCCTCCCTCCAGGTCCTGGATTTTGCTGTTCAGGTTCTGGATCTCAAACTCGCGCCTAAACAGAACGTACAGAATAGTTATAAGCGAAAACACTTCAAGCCATTTTCTGGTATTATTTACGAAAAGTTAGAGCGCAAATCGTTGGTTGATTGCTGTGCGAATGCGCGTGTAGATGTGCGAGTGCATGGTTGCCTCGCGCAAAATTTCTCGAGTTTAAATGCCTGAAAGACGAAGCTTTTGTCAACCTTTTTTGTGGGTCCACCAAATTTTGGACCCACATTTTGTCAACCTTTTTTGTTGGTCCACCACATTTATTTCCTTAGTTCTTTCAACAAAATCATGATGGCACTTGACTTTAGGGCCAGTCAGAAAAAATTGAATTTGTAAAAGAAAGCCAAAGGGGTGGCCCTTTGGGCGGTCAGTAGGTCAAATCCTGCGAAACAGGCGTCCGTTCCCCTCCCGTAAATCCGCTTTTGGTTCAACTTATTTGCCAATTACCAATATGGGGAAAAATTACTTTTCAAAATTTATTATCCAAAATGTTCATAGTGTTTCACGAAAGGAGAGAGGGTTGAAACAAACTTCGAGATATATAAACAATTTTTCTATTATATATATTAAGCTGTAAATACAAAAAGTTATTCGTTTTAATTGTATTATTCGTTTTAATAAGATAATCCCTTATTTTATCAAAAGTTAGCACACCGGAATATGCAGAAATTTCATGAAAAATACTCAACCTTGATTAGAGAAAATTCATCTTGTTCGTGAACTTTTTCACTAGTAGCGCCATCTTCTTTACCGAAACCCGACAAAAAAATTAACAAAATCAATTTACTTTTTTGCAGCGGTTACTGGGGTCGAAGTCCTGTGCGGCTTGCGCAAAAAGCAAAAAATAGCCCAATCAGCTTAAAAACAGAGGCAAAGGCGAGCTTTGCAATACTTGAGATATAACAGAAACATTGTAGTAGATGATAGTGGAAAAAAAGAGATGGAAATTGATTTTTTTTTTGAAAAGTTGAAGAAATTACTCGAAAAAAGCCGAAAAAATTACATCTAAAAAAAACAAACCTCTGCCTCTTATTATGTGCATAAACAGCGTTCAAATCATAGGGAATCAATTACCGAACGGCAACTGAAGCGACAAAATTTGAATCGAACCCGAAAAAGAAAATTTGTCATGAAAGACTTTTAGCCATATAGTTTTGAAATTCAAGAAGTGATCCATCCTTCCTGAAACACCCAAAAGCGAGCTTTGCTGAAGACTTTTAAGCCTTCAAAATTACGCGATATTTGTTGAGTAACCTGCAATAACATAAGCCGCAACCGATAAATAGAAAAAGAAAAAATATAAATACTATTCAAAATCAGAGTTGGTAAATTTATAAGTTACAGAACATTTTTCAATGATAGTAAAAACAGTTCAAATCAAAGTAAAACCTCATGCTTTGGAAAATGAGTAGCTAAACAAGCCTATCACTAATGTACATTGCATTTGGAAAACAAACAGAAAATGAGCCGACGGAAGTAAGTACGAAAGCAACGAATCCGAAAAAGAATTTCATCATTTTTGAATGAGCTGATTTGAAAAACTAGTTACTACCTATCATGAGCTACAAGGTAGTTTTATGTGAATTTTCAAATAATTGTGCATGTCAGCCTGCACGTGATACAGTTAAAGTAACTCCACGTATTTTTTTTTATTTTTTACACTTTAAAAAAAAAATTGTTTATGGGAAAAAGTCTAGTTCCCGAATACGAAAACACTGACATTGTTCTCGCAGCTGATATTACAAGGAGAGCCAATCCTAATGCATGTTGTTTCAGACTTGTAATAATCCTTTGATCTGTCCGATTATTCGATCTTAAACCTGTTATATTACATTAGCGCGAGAATCACATTAGCCCGTCATGAGAAGGACGGTATGTATGATAAAGCATTCAATTATATCAAGATGGCTTGTTACTCACTTGCGCACTTGGTCCTCCAGATCGTGTTTGCTCCTGTCCAGTTCATCAATAGCCTCCTGGGCCATCTTCAGGTCTCCTTCCAACTTCCTCCTCACCTTCTCAAGGTCACTCCTCGCCTTCTTCTCTCTCTCCAGATTGTCTTCAGTCTCCTCCAGCTGGCCTTCCATCTTGACCTTGACCTTGTGCAGGTGGTTGACCTTGTCCTCCTCAGATTGCAGGTCCTCCAGAGTTTTCTAAAAGGTCGAACAAAAGCTAATAGAGAATCGCTACCATTCAAGAAATCTGAGTTCTGTATGCATAAAAGAAAAAATGGATCAACTTTGCCAACGAAAAGAACAAAAACATAAGAAGACGTTTAACTGCCCCATCAATGTTGAGCTGGATTCTTCCTTTGTACTGAAGTTTATAACTGCTTTCCAATACAAATATTTGATACCATTCATGTTTGCCTGAGATAACAAAAAATTGTTCACGGGAAATTGTGGACGGACAATGGACGAATGGAGATATTGGTGTTACCTGGTGCTGGTTCTCGAGATCCTTCTTGGCATGTTGCAGTTTGGACAGAGCCTGATCCAGTTGCATTTTTTCGTCCTTGATCTGGTTGATCATGTGCTCCTTGCTCTTGCCCTCGTCACTGGTCTTGTGCAGTCTCTGCTCCATCTGGGCAATGTCAGTCTTCAGGTCTGCAACTTCACCCTCTAGTTTCCTAAACACTCACATTCCTGTAATATTCAACCAGGAAAACAAATGCAGTATATATTTAGCCCTTAAGAGATAGTATAACCCAAGTATTTTTTAAGCAATATCTTTGACATTCAGCGGCTTATTCGGTCAGACAACAGCAAAGTTTCGACTTCAAATGAGCAGCTTAAACTTAATAAACTACGTTTAAATTCATCGAGCTTAAAGGATATTAATTACCATTAATTTGGGATTAACTATCAATCAACGGCACCCAGCTGAATCAGCCTATAGCTTCCTACACTTAAAATATTGAGATAACGGAGGCTAAAAAGAAACAATTGCAAAGTTTCTTCGAATACCAAACTTCATAGCGGTCTCAGGGGGCGCTTTCCTGTTTTGTTAAATACACAACAGAAAGGTTGGGACAGTAAATGTCTCTGTATATTCTAGAATGCAAAAATAACAGTAACAATTTTACTCTCAGGTGCTTAATTATCAGGACCCCCAGACGAAGCATGTTCACCTTCAAAAAATTGCCTGAACCATGAGGCTCAGCAAGAGATCGAATCAGGGATCGTACGCGTATGAACAGGACTCGAAGGCCGTTTATACCCCAGTTGTTTGTTCTGAAAGCCCTTAATGAGTGGCAAAATTTGTGATTGAGTTTAAAAAAATTGAATTGAAATCAGCATTTTGTCGTACATATCTTGCCGTACACATAAACAACCCTCCCCCCCCCCCTCATTCCAATAACTAAGCACCTGCTTGAGAACACTCTTGTAAAACTCTTGCATATTCAAGTTTAGAGAAAAGAGTTACCAACCAATTGATGAATATCACCAATGTTATTTGATTACATATATTTTTCGAAAAAAATAATAACTAATTTTAATTAGCTAAAGCAGCTTAATATTAGACTCAATGTTACCTCTTCTGGTTGGTGACGTCAGCATTGGTGTTCTCCTCGTCCTCCAGTCTCTCCTGCAGATCCTTCACCTGGTTGTCCAGGTCATGTTTCTGCTTGGTCAACTTATCGGCCCTGTCTTGCTCCTCGCCCAGCTTAGTTTCAGACTGTTCCAACTTCACAGTCATATCAGCTTTCTCTTGACTCAATTTGTTAATCTAAACAGAAAATAAATTAAAGGAATTAATCATAATAACAAGAAAAAATTCATAATGGAAAAAGACTAATCGGTTGCTGAGCCAGCAGCATAGAAAGCTCCAAGTACATAAGCGAAACACGGATAGCCGGTTACTGTACAAGTAGCACAGAATGCTCCGACCATATGCTTTTCAGGGCTTAAATTAAGCAGGAATTAATCATAATAACAAGAAAAAAATCATAATAGAACAAGACTAATCGGTTGCTGAGCCAGCAGCATAGAAAGCTCCAAGCACATAAGCGAAACACCGATTGCCGGTTACTGTACAAGTAGCACAGAATGCTCCGACCATATGCTTTTCAGGGCTTAAATTAATTAAATGATATAAAAATTTTGATTTTGGGCCGTTTTGGGCTGTTGTAAGCCTGCTCGCTCGCTCATATCATTCTTTCGATATTTTATTAAAAATCAAAGAATTTAAACCAGTTTTTCTCGATAGTGAAACTTGTTGAACATTTTTAATGCCGTTCAAATTACGACTGGAAGGGCTTCAATTTGGTATATCAATCGACCCATTCTGATGATTGTTTGTGGTACCTGATTTTGCGTGGAAAACAACAAATGAAAAAAAACTATTACACACCCGAATACAAAGCTCCTCCCCATTTTTCAAATGGTCGGAACAAAAAGACTAAAACATTTTTTGTTCAAAATTTTTATTTCTGGTTGCAATAAGAGAAACTAGACAAAGCCTTATAAAATGTGAAAAAAAAATTAACAAAAAATTATATTGCCAAAAATGCGTTAAATGAAACTTCGATAACTATTTTTCCCGGAGCAAAACTATTTTTGTACAGCTCAAAGCAGCTTTTCCTATTATAACAACTACTCGCTCGCATTGCTCACTCAAAAGTAAGACAAAAAAAACTTCATATTCGCGTGGAAAAAAACTAAATCACTCCAAAAAAGCATAGTTCCTCCCCACTTTCATGGGAGGGAACAAATAGTTATATCAATAATTATTAATAATATTTTTAAAAAAAAGCTAAGCGCTTCATGAAAGTTCCGACCGTTTTTTAACTGAATAAACACTTAGACAAACTTTATTTGGAAAGCTAGCCCAGATAGTATTTGGTCGAACAACAAAAACTGAATCAATTAACGAACTGAAGTCAATTTGAATGGATTTCTCAGGCTATTGTTATTTATATAGTCGATATTGGTTAGATTAAAAATATTTATATTCAGAAAACCCCGGAATACTTTTGCTTGGGAGTAGTTTTTTTTCAGACTAATTTCTCCTTTGTCACTAAATAATTTTGAAAATTTTTAAAAAATATTTGAAAGATTTTGAAGCCTTGAACTCAAATTTAAAAAGATTATTTACTTGTGAATACTTATTTTTGCGAAGTTAAGGGGGCTTAAAAACTGCCAAACGGCAATAAAAAAAATTTATATATGTATTTTTGAACGTTAATCAAAGTTGTTGACAAAAAATTATTTCGGAAACTTTAAACAGGCAAAACACGCACGGATTTGCCCTGATAGGAGCATTCGTGTCACTATTTTTGCTTGGCTGGGTAGAATCTACAACTTTAATTGCTCTACCTCCAACTGTAGCATTTTTTTCACCATGAAAACAAGAAGTTAAGTACCAAAGAAAACATCGTAAATAATCAAAAGCACAAGGTCAAACAATCAAAAAGCATCGAAATATGCAAACAAGCTACAAAAGCTACGACATTCTTCTTCTTTAATGAAAGCTACGGCATAGTTTGCTTGCATGATAATTTACTATAAAATAACTCAATAAATAAAAACAAAATGAAAAACTTTTGCATAACTAAATAAAACGCAGTTAATAAAAAGCCATAACAGTAAGTTAATAAATCCAAATTTGATTGTTGTTTTTTCAACATTTCTATAATGAAAGCACGGCTGATTAAGTTTAATGATACGTTATATCAGTAACAACGCTTATGAATATGTTTTTTTTATACTGAATGACTAAACCAAAACTAAGCGTAGACAGCTTCCTCGGCGTTCTGCTGTGTGTCTTAATTTCAAAACTGCAATTAAAATCATAGAAAATTTGAATTTTCATTAAGTTTAATGATACATGTATGGGGTGAGTAATTTCTCCTTTGTCATTAAACACTTTTGAAAAAATTTTGAAAAATATTTGAAAGATTTTGAAGCCTTGAACTCAAATTTAAAAAGATTATTTACTTGTGAATACTTGTTTTTGTGAAGTTAAGGGGCTCAAAAACGGCAACAACGGCCAAACGGCAATGATGGCCAAACGGCAATAATTAATGAGAAAATTATTGACAATGATACACAGTTAAGAATATCCACCAATATGTACATGTATCATAAAATGAGGCTAATATTTTCTCAATATCAGCCATCAGCAACAGATGAGTGCCCGAAATTGAAGAAAAGCTACGAAAAAATTTGGATCTCTTCAACTATTCCCCATTGCAAAAAGGGGAACTCAATACTAGGTACAAAAAAGCATAATCGCTTTATCGTTGAATATATTCTTCATATGGGTGGATATTCTTAACTGTGTATCATAGGAGGCGAAATGCTTAAAGGTATCCAACAGTTCGGTTTAAAAATAAACAAAATAGTTTGCTGGTTCTTTTCTTACCTTTTCTTCGAACTCCTTGTTGGCCTTTTCGATGCTCTCGAACTTCTCCATCATGGCCTTGGCCTCCTCCTCCTTCTGCTTCATCTCCTCGTCCGCCTTGGCCAGAGAGAGCAGTGGCTTGACCTTGGAGTACATCTTGAACCAGAGCCAGTTGCGCAGCTGCAGGTACTTCCTCACATTGCGCTGGATCACCATCAGGCCAATCCTGTCAAGTTGGTCATGATTTAATTACAACAGAGGCGAAGCTGAACTTTGCTGACAGAGATAACAAAAAGGGTTTGTTCCAAGGCAATAAAATAGGCTTAAAAATCTGGGATTAAAGACGGCCGCATCTAGCGTCTAAGCTCAATACGATTCAACTTTAAAAACTTATAAGCACATATAAACATTCTGAGAAGCTGTGAAAAATAGGAAGACTAGCCTCTGGTCCAGCATCTTCTTGAACTTCTTCCTCATCGCATTGCCTCTGATGTAGCACTGGAAGCTGGTGATGATGGTCGACACCTTCTCGTCTCGCATCTCCTCGAGATTACCTAAAATAGCAGACAACAACTGTCAATACAACTCAAGGTCAAGGAGCTTAGCTATATAAACCATCGCATATGTTTGGTGCAAAATATCTCAAAATAGACTAAAAGATATCTGGAAACATTATTTCCAGCAGTTATTCAACAAATATATTTGGTCTTCTTTATCTAAAAAGTTTTGTTTCCATGTTATATAATATCTTTTAAAGTTAAAGTCTTCTCTTTTACGCAGTATTTGCTACTTTTGTCCATGTATTTCACTGAAACAATTCACTCACCCAGCACACCGGCCTTGAAGAACAGTTTGGTGTGTCCGAATCGGTAGAGGTTCTTGTCTAGATCGATTTTATCGATGATGGTCTTGGACCCGTCTTTGGGGTCAGTCTCGTCAGTCACTTCGGCAGCAGCCAAGATCTTGTACCTGCAGAACAAAAATAGTGATCTAGAAGCTAAAATCGTAATTCGATTAGAGACAAAAGTAATTATGAGGAGACTGGAAGCGGAAAACTTCAAGTTTCGTTGGTCTTGAGTTTTATGAAATTTTAAGACAGATCAGGCAATTTAATACTGCCTTTCGTAAACTCAATGAGCTTGTTGAAGCTAGGTAAGGATAACTCAAATTAAGGCTCCATTTCAACCTCAGAACTTGTAAATGCTCACTTATATGCATTGTATTTAGTTTTTTTTTTCCAGCCAAGGTTACTTATCATGCCCACTTATTTGGCGTTTTGATTTTTAGCTATACTAGTGACTTAGGTTTCATTAAAATAAAATAGTAACCAGGGATTCGATAAGTTATGATAGTGACCTAGGTTTGAAGTCGTTGTACTGGAGCCGATTGGGGAATCCCTTTCGACAGATACGGATACCCTCGAGGACACCGTTGCACCTCAGCTGATGCAAGACCAAGTCGGGCTCCACCAAAGCAGGCGTCTTCCTCTCATTCGGCACAATGCAACGGATGAAGTGAGGCTGGGTGCTGTGTAGAGTCGTCATCAATTTGTTCAGCTGGTCCTGCAAACAAACAGCACGTCACACGTTCAATTCCCTATCATTGCAAGCGAAGCTGGGCAGAGCACGCCGTTTTTGAATTTCATTAAATTTCAAACATTTTCGTCATAATTTTTTAAAAAATCAATACATCATGAAATAATCGCAATGTTAGTGCCACAAATCATATGACCATTTATGTTCAATTTTTTCATGGTAAAATTCAATCGATAAAGGATTTAATTAAAAACAAAGTTAATGCTTCGTTAAGTTACCTTGTGGTTTCCAGAGATGGTCTGGGCTGAGCCACCCTTCTTCTTCTTGCCCTTGCCACCACCGCCGCCGCCTCCAGCGTCGGCATCCTCGACCTTGAAGATGGCGGCGAGGAGTTTCACGTCCGATTTGCCGAACAGCTCAGCCACAGTGTCATTCATTGGATCCTTGTTCTTCTCCAACCAGTTGGTGATGTTGTATCTGCATGACACGATTACAATAAGCACAAGTAAGCAAACAAAAACAAATTTAAGTTGGCTGCCAGCGCTTGAAATTTGTAAATGGTTTTCCATGTTTTTTCTTAGAATCTCAACTCAAGCGATTCGTCGGAAGGGCTAAAAATTCTTTCGTTTTTTTTATAGTAAAAATCTCTATTTATGTTATAGTATTGAAAATTCGATTAAAAAATGTGACTGCAACTGACCCGACAGTGCCTGCGTAGTGATGCAGTTCGAAGTGGACGGGGAACTTGGTCTTGGATCCTGCCTTGGGCTTGCCGTAGGACTTGCTCTTGCCATTGTGGTTGTCCTCCAGCTTCTTCAGGAACGTCTGGTCACTGGCCTTGGGCACAATGCACTCTTCCTCCAGGATGGACAGGATGCCTATCATCAATACAGAGTTTCATGAAGAAAGTAGGATTAAAGAACGTCAGCGTAATGAATTATCGGTTGAATTGACAGTAATGCAATTCAACGTTAATATTTCTATTAAGAGAAATCATCGCCCATTTTTAGCCAAAGCGACGGACATAGGGACGTAAGGGGGTGGGGCGACGTTGCAGGGAGAACATCTGAGGTTAAATATCTAAACATATCTGCACGATGACTCACCCATCGGTTTCTCGATGAGCAAGATGGTCTCAGCCAAGTCCATTCCGAAGTCAATGAACTCCCACACGATTCCCTCCTTCTTGTACTCCTCTTGTTCCTGCACGAACATGTGGTGGTTGAAGAACTGCTGCAGCTTCTCATTCGTGAAGTTGATGCACAGTTGCTCGAACGTGTTCAGGTCGAAGATCTCGAATCCAGCGATGTCAAGCACTCCGATGAAACACTGTCGAGGCAAGTCAGTGTCCAGGGTCTTGTTCACACGCAGGATCAGCCTGAAAACGATGTCACGTCACGTGATATAGAAAAAAAACTGATCGCTGAGTTGCAAGTGTTTTGCAAAAAGATAGAACTATAGACATCTGAAGATTAAAATGAACAATTTAAAGGACAAGCTGTAAAATTGTTTTCTAAACATAACATGAATATTCCAACAATAATAAACCAAATATGATAATGTATTGTCCGAATGTTTTTCGAGCGAAAAACAAACATTAGGCCAAATGGTACTTACATTTTAAAAATTTAAAAAAGTTTTCGTGAATTAAAATTACTAAAAATATAATTAAAAAAAATCAGAAGTCCAACCGCGAAAAATCAAATTTAAGCGTGAGCAAATTTTAAGACTTTTCCGTAAAAAAAAACATACAAGAAATCATCACGACCTACATAAGAGTCTTCGCTACTTTCATTGACTCTGAATAAAAAAAAACTCAAGGAAACCTAATGAAATTTACTTACCATTTGAACATCTTGTCGAAGATGGCCTTGCCCATTGCACTCTGGGCATATCCGACCTGGTCCACAGTTTGACCTTTAGTGACGTATTCGGATCCGACCTTGACTCGGGGCTTGACGAATCCCTTGAGGAGCTCGTCCGTCTTCACTCCGAGCAGTTCGGCTGCCAATTCGGCGTCATCTTTGCCGTCAGGTTCGGCGTTTTCCTCTCGGGGTCTCTGCTTGAACTTCATGTTGCCCAAGTGCAAGATACCTAGTGAATATCTACTTCTATTCAAACAACTGTAGACATCTTTACTTTTGAGCAGAACTTATCATCAATTATTCATCATTACCATTTTAATCAAACTTGGGAATGTTTTTAACTTCAAAATAATTATCTGCTCAAACTGAAGATTTAGAAATTAACGCACAAGAACCCACTTTATCCAGTGACTCTCAAAATCATTCCGTTAAGCTTAAAACTAGTTGAGATTTCAGCTGCTTCAAATCAGTGAAGTAAGTAAACTCCTGAATATCTCATAGCTTTATGATCATGGCAAAACTTATCAAAATTTTGATATTTATATAAAAATTAAATATTTTTATGAAAATTTTCAATTACGTATTTGCATAAAAATTACAATATTTAAAAGAAAAATTGAAAATTTTCTTGATCCTTGCAAACCAAACTCGAAACGGAGGTACGGCTCACTTGCAGTTTTTTACAAACTAGCCGATAAAAAATTAGACGAAAACCTTCAAGTCAAATTTTTTTAAATAAAAATTTCAAAAAAAAACAAAAATTTTCTAATGTTTATTCAAATGAAGTCAATTTTGAGAAAAACATGCGGCGAAAGACAATTTCCAGTGTGCAAAAAGAACTGAAAATAACTTCCGAATCTGTTACTAAGCGGGCAATACTTGTGTGGACGCTCGCTGGGCTGTAAGAAAAACTGGCCATAAAAAATTCGACTATTTAAAACTTTCGGGGTGACTCAATATAAAGTACACACACGCAAACATTTTAATTTTTTAACGACGCAAATTGTGGTGACTGAACCAACCTCAACGAGCTAAATGTAACATAAGCCGAATGATACTTTTTAACAAAAAAAATGAAAAAATTAGGCGAAATGGCAGAGTTGGGAAATTAACCATCAACATTAAAAAAAAACAAATTTCGCATAGAAGAGTTATTTTAAATGCAGACATGCTCAAAATATGACCGATGGTTGACGAAAACAGGTTTGTGAAAACGATTCGGTGCTTCGGTTACACAAGTTGTTAACCTGAAAACGTCTACTTTACGATTTGATAACGATTGCTAATCGCAAGTGAATTACTTTTTCGTACGAATATGAAATATGAAGTTTTAATGGGCGGGGAGGGGGTGGGGTTAAAAGGAAAAGTGTTTACCTGCGCATAGTTTGTAGAGTTCCTCCTTCTCTTTGGGTTCGAATCCCAGGATGTCGAAGGCCTCGTCAGTCAGCTGGGCCTCCTCGGTATCATCGATGGATTTCACCACATATTGACCCTGAAAACAATAACAACAACAACAATCAGCAACACGTTAGAACTATCACCGAAAAATAAGGTCACATGAATAGTTGTCTTCTTTTAACTTTCATTTTTTACATGGAAGAACTTATTGGAAAGTAACAAGAAGTCGAAGTAATTAGTTTAAAAGTTGCTTGTTTCATGTAACTCTTTCTACCAAATGGATACAAAATGACTTAGTATCTTCAAAACAATCAAGTATCTCTTTTTTAATCAGAGGGGTTGTGTAAAGGGGAGTTATCTAAAAGGGGGTGAGTAATTAAGTAGTACTGACATCGTGGATGAACTTGTAGTCCTCGGGATTGCCACTCAGCTTCAGTTTCTCCTTCAATCCCGGAACACCAGGCGACAAGATCTGGTAGAAGATGTGGTAACACCTAAAGCACCACACACCGCTCATCCCAAACATCTACATGAGAATCATTCTACTAAGGAAACTTAAACTACTTTGAATTCTACAAACAGATAATCTCAGTAAAAGTGCATTAGGCGAACATTTAGGGAGTGTAAGTCGTTTATCAAAGTAACGGTAAGAATATTTAACTCGCGGAAAGAAAAAAATCAATTACCGATTCTCGACGAAGACCATTCTTTCATATAAAAATTGGATTGTATGGAAAAGCATTTTTAGCATTTTCGGGATATGCAGGTGAGCCAGAGCTATATTCACACGATCAAACTAATTTTAAGGAGCAGTGGTAGGCCCAGTGAAAAATTGGTATACTTTTTGAATCGTTTCTCAAAATAAGAGTAATCTTAATTTTTTCGATACAAAGAGGTTAAATCAAGATAATTTTACTCGGCTCTTTTATTTTTTCTCGAAGATTTGCGGATTTTTGTGCCAAGTTTTGGAATCATGTTTTTGCAGCAGTTTTCCTGTAATAAATTTGCAAAATGAAAATTTAGCTTCTTTTTCAAAAACTTCAATGTAAATTTGTGGTTTTAAAACTGATCTGGACGGAGTAGAATAATGACTAACCTCTCCATGCCTTCCATCTGGCTGGTCACTCTGGCCTTCTCCAGCAGGTAGTGCTCAATGTCAGCACCAGACAGTTTGCCCACACTTGAAAAGTGAATTCGGATGAACTTTCCGAATCGAGACGAGTTGTCGTTTCTAACGGTCTTGGCATTTCCGAACGACTCCAGCACAGGGTTCGTTTGCACAATTTGGTCCTCCAGCGACGGCTACGAACACACAAAAAATTAGTTAATAATTCTTCAAGATGTGTTTTGTGTATTTTTTCACCAGAATGAACTCCTAATAAAAAACTTGAAAAACGCAACATTTAAAAAGTTAAATTATGATTCCGTGATTTGAAAAACACGTGAATGATTCAAAACTGAGATCTTGCATATATTTGACTACTCTACTCATTTATACGGAAAACATGATGAAAAACTGAAGAAGAAAACAATCATAATTAATAATGTTTTTCATCTTAGAAGATAGAATTTTGCAATCCGAAAAATGGGGTTTAGAAGTTAGAAATGCGATTAGAATAAAAGAAAGTGGTTATAAAAATACAACTTTTTTTCAGTCCCACTTCTGATTTTTGCCAAAATAGTATTTCATAAATGATAATTTGAATTAACTTTCCTTTCAATAACTATAGTGACGCATGTCAAAGTGAACGAGTAAAAAATTTGATTTTTTTTTCATGCCAACGAAAATTGAGGCCTGAACAACTCTCATAAAACTATTGTGATAATTTCACGAGTGACAAGTGAAACTGAAAAAGAGCCAAAAATTCTAGTTTGGTTTCAGTTCATGAAGGTCAATTACAAGTTACGGGTTATGACAGAGCGCATGCTATGCTGTGACCTAAGTTGGAGAATGAGATAGGAAAAGTTTGTTCGAAGAAGGAAAAGAAATAAATACTTGAATCCAGCGTTCCACCAAATCAGGGATAAGTTTGATATGATACCTCTAAGTCAAAAACCGAAGAACATAAAATATGAAATATCTGCTGCAAAACTCAATTATCGCAATCATTCTGTTGTCTAAGATTTTCTAGCTTTGACAGTCAAAGCAACTAACACAAATTCATAAAAAAGTAGCCTTTAATGTTGAAAAAATTAAATGTTTCGTTTAGGAATTGCAGTATATCTCTTTCTTCGAGCCTTAAATTAAAATAGTAACAAGTTAGGCTTCAACGGGGGAAATAATGGATCCCAGTTCTTCGGTTTGTTGACTTTTCATTCGACGAAGCAATTACCTGTCCGTCTTTTCGCAATTCAGAATTTTGTCCAATTTCAGCGAAATAGTAAATGACTTTTTTGGTGTTCTCCGTTTTGCCCGCTCCCGATTCACCCCTGCATATTAAAGTCATCAGGGTTCAAAAGCTCACAAGTTTGACTTTTTAAAACTTCTATAGCACGAAGAGACCGGTCTCAAAATAGTGCCGCAAACTCCATTTACTGCAAATGAAGACCTAATTTCTTTTCCTTCGAGCTTTGAAACAAAACCGGTTTTTACTGAAGAAACAGCAACCGGCGTTCAAAACCTGATTCTCAATTTTAAATCATGAAAAAGGTATAAACTTGAAACTCTTGTCAGATATTGATTTGTAAACTGAACTAAAATAGTTAAACCAATTGTGTAGAAAACAAAACACGACACACATACACGAACACAAAAAAACGAGTGCTGGCAAAATAATTGAAATCAGTGCGAGACACAGTTATGTAGCTTCTTTTCGAGGAAATCTGGTTCCTTTTTTGGTACCTTAGAGTCGGTCTTCTTTGCAGTCGGATCTGAGCCGAGCAGGGCGAAGTACGAGATGACCTTTTTGGTGTTCTCGGTTTTACCCGCACCAGATTCACCGCTAGAGGGACACACAATTTAGTAATGGAAAAATAGAAATTCAAGTAGTTCGATTGAATGGATTTTGCAAAAATTCACGCTGCGCGCAAAAATCAATCCTTTCTGTTAATTACGGATAAAATTTCCCAGATAATTTTCTTAGACTTCCTGAGACGTCATTAAAATAATCAATTAAAATCCTTGCTATTTATTTTGTATTTTAATTTTTCTTGCAAAAAATATGAGTTATGAATTCTTAAGTAAGTATATGTAAAAGTTAGTTATTAGCTGCAAACTCACGTGATCAAGATCGACTGGTTTTGCTTCTCTGAAATCAAATAAGTAAAATCAGTCAGATTCAAGCCGCTGTTAGACTACAACTGAAGATTTCGATTTGGATTTTCATCTAGACAATAAAAAATGACAAATAAAAAACAATCAGGGAATAATTTCCACTGAATTTGGACACAAGTCTTTTTGGTCGAGGAGTTCTTTTTGGTCTTACAGAATTTTTTTTTTACTATAATATTGGTCCTGCGAAAATTTCAAGTTTGGCATACTCTTTGATGACTTTAATATTTAATTCTGAGGTAATTTTGATGACTTTTATTTTTAATTCTGAGGCAATTTTTACCTAATTTTCGATATAATTAGCTCACATTCTGCAGTTTTTTTACCAAAATTAATCGCCATTTTAAAAAATCAACCAAAAATTTAGAAAAAAATGAAAATTAATTGAAATTGAATTGTTCGAAACACTCTGCGCTACTTATACAGCAACCGGAATTGCTTGCTAATAATATACGTGTTTTATTGAAGTAAAGCAAAAGTGTGACTTATTATTACCCATCATCATGTCAGTGTATGCGTTGTCAGAGATGGCGAACACGTGAGGGGGGACCTCGGTCCTCCTCTTGCCCTTGTAGTAGTTCACACACCTGTGCCCGTAGATGGGCAGTCGCTTGTACGGGTTGATAGCCACGCAAAACAGACCAGAGTAGGTCTAAACAATAAATAACATACACTCACTATACGCGCAATGAACAAACTATTATGATGTTAATCGGAAGTGACCGGTGGCAAAATTGACTCTTTAGCCATCCAAATAGACTTCACTTTCATTCAATTTTCCCATGTTTTTGACAAGCAATAGTAATTTAATTTAAGGGAGTGACAGAAAAAGGACAATTTTTTACCAAAACTTGACAAAAATTCCAACATTTCAATTTTAAACACAATTTTTCTCTACAGGCTCAAATTAATGCTGTGATATTCTGTGCCGACTAAGCGAATTCAACTGAGACGTGAACGAAGGTAGAGTAACATGAGACAAGGGATTATGAGGAGGCTGACTCACGTAGATGAGGAACTCGACGTATCTGCACTTGAGATTGTAGAGGATGCTGGCCTCATTCAAGTAGGTCAACGAACTCATGTCCTCCCACTTCTCGAACTTCGGGGGGTTCACCAGACCGACGTCGTCCTTCTTGAACGTCTTCTCCTACACCACACAAAACACAGAGACAGTCAATGATATACTATAGATAGTACACAAGGTAGTAACAAACGCACGAAATTTTTGTCACGAAAATTCTAACCATAATTGTTTGAAAAAACTTCAAATCAGCAAAAATGTTGAATAAAGGAATGTCTTTTTCAGCTTCACAAGTAATTATCATTTTAAAACTGATAAACTTCCCACGAAAGAGGCCTTAAGTGAAAATATTTTATTGTTCCGACTTTCGATACGAAAGTAACGGAATATTTGTGCTCGGGTGGGTTTTTTTTTCTTCAGACAAATTTCGACTTTTTAACTAGCCATTTTTGACGGAATTTTTTTTATATCATTCGAAAGGTATTGTTGTCCTGAGCTCAAATTTGAAAAGATATTTCACCTGTGATCATTTTCGTAAAGTTACGGGGTTTACAGATCGCCATTTTGACCAATTTGGGACAACTAACGCGCGATATATTTCGCGCTATTAACGCGTAAGCGGAGAGTTAATCCGTCTTAGAAATCGTTCCAAATTGGTTAAAAGAAGCTTATATGCCATAAATGGTTTGTTACAAGGAGCAAAATCTATCCTTTTGTACTTTATATGGCGTATGGGGGGATGATTTTCATAAAAAATTTCAAATTTTAGAAGAAAAAAATGTGCATTTTGTTTTATTTCATTGAATTTTTTAATGTTATTACTGCTCCATAAACCTTAAAAGGCAGTCGGAACATTCAGGGCTTCGCCCTGATACGAGCAGTCTTGTTTTTTTTAAAATGTCTTTTTTCGTAACAAAACAAACAAGACTGCTCGTATCAGGGCGAAGCCCTGTAAGTTCCGACTGCCTTTTAACGTTTATGGAGCAGTAATAACATAAACAACAAAAAAATTAAATGAAATAAAATAAAATGAAAAACTTTTTTCTAAAATTTGAAAATGTTTCTATGAAAACGATCCCCCCACACGCCATATAAAGTACAAAACAAAAGATTTCGCTCCTTGTAACAAATCAATTATAGCAAATAAGCTTCTTTCAACCAATTTGGAACGATTTCTAAGACGGATTAAATCTCCGCTTACGCGTTAATAGCGCGAATTATATCGCGCGTTGATTGTCCCAAATTGGTCAAAATGGCAATCTTTAAACCCTCATAACTTTACGAAAAATGATCACAGGTGAAATATCTTTTCAAATTTAAGCTCAGGGCAACAATACCTTTTGAATGGCATAAAAAATTTCTGTCAAAAATGGCTAGTTAAAAAGTCGAAATTTGTCTGAAGAAATAAAACCCACCCCGATCACAAATATTCCGTTACTTTCGTATCGAAAGTCGGAACAATAAAAACCGAGTAAAACCAACGTTTCTTTTTCATTCAAAATTGAGATATTACAATTTTTCACCAATTTGAAACACTTTTTTTTGGTAATTTTTGGTAACTGAACAAAAACTATGGTGGAAGTGTACTACTAGATGAAGAGAGTAAAAAAACAAATGAATGATGATTGAACTTAGCTGACCTCCATGCTGGGCAAGGTGACAGTGCAACTTTCGTCATCCTGCTTTACGACATCGGCCATAACGTAACCTTCCTTCCTGTCAGGAACCCACACCTAAACAGAAAATAACACCAACTGCAATGTCGTTGACAGTATCAACAAAGCTATCTGATACCAACCTCATTTTTCTCACTTTTTTGGAGATTCTGGCAGTAAAAAGCCTCCGAAAACTAAACTACAATATTACTCGGAGATTCTAGTAGTAAGGGATTCCGTGAATTTTGATCGCCAGAGTTGTAAGGGATTCTCTGACTTTTGATCGACAGAGAACAGTTAATAATGAATAGTGCTACTAAGAATTTTCACGGCCAGAATTCTCGAATCTCTAATAAGATAATAGTTTGGTAGTATTTATAGCCGTAGGGGAGGGGGGAGAAAAAAGATGGGTAGTACTTACTTTTCCCTTGACGTCTGCGCCCGACTGTCCGATCTCGACATTCCTGACGAGATACAGCTCCATGTCGGACTCGTCCATTCCTTTGAAACTCGGTCCGGGCATTTTGATTGGCTAACGAGACAGGTCTCTGCTGTTGCTTCAATTTATGACAATTAAACAGTTGAAGTTGGCAAGAACACTTTCCTACACAAACACCACACAAATTAATGCAGATAATGACAGAAAACATGGTTTATTTTTGTATCCATCATAACACATCCATCATAAAAGCTTAAATTCAGATCGCTTTAATATAGTATACAAGCGATTAACTGTACAAAACAATCAGGTAATGAGTTGATCGAACTTTGTAAAAACCGTGAATTGAAAAAAGGTTAAATCCAAATCCGTTTCTCATTTTTCATTCAAAATTTTATTCCTCTAAAAAGCCTTTGATAACATAAAATTTGAGGCTCTTTTAGAATTACATAATTTCTTGTAATCCACGTGCATTGTAATACCAACGAAAATCATCATATTTTGGGGGGGGGGATTTCTGGTTGCTTAATAACTCAAAAGGATTCAAAAATTTGATTTTATCATCTGGGATTCATTTACAAAAAAAGATTCACTAAAAACTCACCGATAATCATAACTAAAGATTTCTTTAAGCAATAAGTCAGCGAATAGTTGCAAAAAAATTTACTTAACATTTATTACGAGTTCGAATATTTTACATGTTTAGAAAACAGTACCACCACTTGCCAGTTATAAGGCCAATGCAACAGTACTTAATTGACAAAACTATTCATACAATTTATGACGATTTGATGAAAAACTGAACGCTGATAATATTGCTCAATAGTAATTTTAGTCAAGAAATTAGACAAGCTCGAAAAAAAAACAACGGATTTTCTGTTAGAAAAAAAATTCAAATCGCTGCTAGCTGATTAGAAATCTTATAGCAACTTCGCACAAGTGATGCAATTTCAATACTGCCCCGCATCTTCAGTTTTTGAAGTAAAAATTAGTCTATTAGTATGCCCAAAAACTTAAAAAACCTTGCAAGTGAAAAAGTTACCCAGTCTACTGTTCAGGAAACGCCCCAATTTTAGAGCCTTAGTTTTTAATATTGAGAACAAACTTTTTTGTTGGCCCAGAAAAAGGAGAGGAAAATAATTTTGATGACTCACCTGGGAAGTTGCACTAGTAAATAGTATGTTATGATTTCCCTTATCAACTGGAGCTTTGTTAAACGTTAAGGCGTTCAGCAATATTGGACAAATTTGGGTAAATTTTAGTCGAAATACAAGAAATGAAGTTACCAACCTGCTAATATAATCGCTGAGAGTAGAATGATTTCAGAGGCTAAGGATTAACTTGCAACCTGTTTTCGTTTTGGCTCTAGGCGTCCAGAATTCAACAAACCCAACAGCAGTTTCAGAAATTTTACACAGAGGGTATTGGAGAAAGGGGGAATATTCCACGTTATTGGTTACCCTTTTCCAAATTTTGGAGACAATTCTAAATTTGGGACTTTTTCTGGGATATATCAAGCGGCGTGTACGTGTTTTATGTATTTATTACATTTTGCAGGTTTTCTACAATATAACACCACGCTGATATTCAGAGGGCATATTAAGTTCTGGGCGAAGCTGAAGCTTAAAGCTTTACAGTCGACAAGTTTGGTTCACGCGATTCGAATTAACCCCTTGCCTAGCTTGGGCAAAACCAGTAGACGCACAGTTGCAATTCCCCGCAGAAGAACTTACAGGCGAAATCTGTTTGTGAGATTGGTTCTATATTCGAAGTATTTTGAGGAGTTGTCGCGTTGAACATGTTCAAGTATCATAAATAAATGTCACTTAGTTTGCAAGTATTTCTTTTTACTATCCATTTTATATACAATACAGCACACGTACTTGTCTCTAGCGGGCTTGGCTTTATTCGCTATTCCCGTAAACTCTTTCTAAATCAAAAACTCAAAGAAACGAAATCAAATAGGCAACGATAATAAAAACCCAAACTTAAAGAAAATGCTATTAAAAGACTCAGAATTTCAGCAGACGCTAAAGTTATAAAAATCAACCGTGTTGCAGGCGTTAAACTTTATTCCGGGTTTATTTTGATACCCCCATTTCAAACTTGGGGAATATTTCCAATGAAAGCACGCCATGTTTAAGGTATGGAAATTACCCGCAGAATATCTGTTTTATTTTTATCAGCATAATGGCTAAGTTCAAAAGGGGAGTGTGTTTTATACATTGATAGTTGAGCACTGACTTGGTAGCCCAGAATGTTGGGCAATAAAATAGTCTGATAATAGAAAATCAACATTCCAAGAAACAGATTTGCTGGGCTAGAAATAGTATGTTTTTGAGTCTATAAAAGGTCCACAAATAGTCCAGCCAGGTTTTTGTACTTTTACTTGGATAAAAGTGGACAAAATACTTTTATGATTAGCATGTTTACTTCATTTTGCTTCAAGCTGAGATTTCAAACCCAGTCTAAAAATTCACCTGAGAAGAATCCAACATTGTCTCCACAATCAAAACTAATGTCAAAAACTAAATCAAAACGATTTAGATTCAGATACATTTCTACCCAGCCCTAAAAATTCGCATTCGCAAGTTAAGTCAAGCTTTTTATGCTTTCATTCCAACCAGGAACAATGCATAAAGTCGCAATATACCAAAAAGTTTTGAACCAAATTGCTTAGGAAAAACTGAGAAATATGACATATCTAGGCCGGCCGAACCGTGTGAATCCAGAACACTGTATGCCGCTTGCACTGTCTGCGAAAAGCTTGTTGTTCTGATCGCTCCTGACGAAAGAAGAGGATGAAAACCATGGTGTAGGGTTATCGACAGATTTAGGAAAGATAATACCTTAATTTAGGAATTCGACACCCTCAGCACCCAGAGAATCCTTTTGGTACTATTTTACATCCTCCAAAAATGCACCATAAATTATAGCAAAAAAGGATCTCGGTCTCTAGCTTTTGATACTGTTGAATATGACGGTAAAGTCTTTTTTTTTTACTAGCCAATCATGTTTGTCCAATCTGTCCCAATCTTATCGTTTTCCAGTTTTACTATAAGATTTATTGAGAATAAAAAATAAGAGTATGATTAAGATCAGCTCCGGACTTAAAGTTATAGGAACCAATCCGAACGAAAATAGGTTGCGTCACAAACAGACGGTGTAGTCTATCTGAAATCTTTCTATGAGGTACAGATCGACTACAGCGTGTTTGCGCGCATCCTTTTTTCGGCCCGATAGGTTCGCATAACTTTCAAGTCCAATACTGGTCTTAATCTTACTCTTAATTATAACTCTTAATATGAACAGCAGCAAAATATTCATTAATTTAAAGTCAACATTTTTTAGAATCAGTTTTTCAAATTTCTCCCGCAAATATCTTGAACGAAAGTTTGAGAATCTACAAACAACTGAGGAGCTAGAATGTTGACGAGCTTAACGATTCGCTGTGAACAGTCGGTCGTTTCAAGGCTCTTCTTTGTTCTCTTCACCTTACATTTCAAATTTTTCGCGTTTAAAATCTTCGTTTGTTACGCTCTTTCTTTCGTTTGTTACGCTCTTATGAATGGCAAGCCAATATAGATCAAATAGAGACTACGATCACTAGATGCCTTTATTAAAAAATAAGGCGATGCTATAAAACTTAGTTGCTTTGCGAAATAACTTCGAAGTATCGGCGCTGATTAACGCCCAAGTAGGGAACAACAACTATGTTAAATTCAACAACGCAGAAGATATTGATAAACTGAAAAATCCAGTTATGAAACAAACACGCCCCAGCGCTAACAAGAGTAATCTTTTTATGGTTAGTGATAAAGATCGTATTCAAATGGGTTGATGTGTTTGGATAATTTCAATCAAACCATATACAGCTATAGCATTTTATTTGATTAACACTACCAAAACTTTGTTAGCTTCCCTTTATCACACAATCACGTGAAATTAGTATGTGTTAACACTGGTACAAAGCCAAGTACACGGATAATTCTGATTGCAACAAGCCAAAAAAATCTTTCAAACGGAATTACTGCATCTAATCAAATAGTGTTTGATAGTCATTGTGATAGTTCCTAGGTATAATCTTTGCTTTGTTTGTGATAGTACAGTTGTATCCAATCAAAGTTGAGCAGAACTTCTTAAAAAATTCCATAAAATCAATTCCGACTTATTTTGCTTTTAAATATACAAGAAAAAAAATTGTTTTCTCCAAAATGATTTTAGTGCGCCAAAACAATTACGGTTTTTTTCGTTTCTCCCTTTCTGGGTAAAAAAATCAACCAGAACAAAATTCTTCAAAATGTTTTCCCAAAAAGGCACGGAAACCACTATTTCTTCTCACAGTACTTGATCGTTAGAAACTTACGTGAGCATTTGTATCATTGAATTCCAAAAACATTGAAAGACAGAAACTTCTTGTGTTCCTTCCATAAGATTTTGAAAACATTTTCGATTGTGTTCTGTAGTGCGTGTTCTGCGACTGTCGTGCTGAAATGATCTTATCAATTTTGACCCTGGCGTGTTCTGCGACTTCTGCGTTAACTTTGGGGCCAAGGTCAAATCAAAATGAGATTTTCGGGAAAAAATAATATTACAAAAGCAATGGTGTTCGGCGAATTCCGTGATCAGCATAGCTACAATATAGAGAAGTTTCAAAGCTGATTCCTACGGAATGATTTTTCAGTTTCCGCCTTCAGTTCCACGTTGAAATTTACAGAAATTAGTTATCAATTTATCAGTTTTACTTACATATCCCATTAATTCGATGATTAAATTAAATGGCAAAAAAACTTTATCAATAATCAATACAAAGTTTGAACCATCTAGGAAAGCGTAACAAAAAGCTGAATTTCAGTATTTTTCCAAAATCTTCGATCATGCAATGAAAAAAACTTTGCCCAATTCGAAGTGTATCTAGAAGCACCTAAGTCCAAACTGAAGACCATAGCTTTAGCGAAAATATGGTTTAATGAAACTAATCACTCAAATTTGATTGGTCAAAGTAAATTAATTAGAATACAATTGATTTCTTAATGAAAAAAATCAGCCTAAGGAAATTGAAGAAAAATTAACATTTGTACCATAAAAAGTGCATTTCTACAAACTTATCAAACTTTTATATAACATGTCAAGACAAGAAGAAAACGCTAAAATTTTCAAAAGAGTTAACGGTTACAGAAGAAATTGAAGACATTCTTAGACAGAATACACAAAAGTAAATCTTAAAAAAAGAGACCCAGTCAACGCAGAATAAAAACTTAACTTCCACAAGAGGCAGTATTCTGCTCATGCTCAGCCATGAAGTTAAATCCTGTGAAAAAAATTAGAAAGGAAAAAGTTATATAGACAATTATTATTGATTAGCTGTACCAAAAGAAAAAAATAACAAACAGAGTTGGAAAAAAGTTATGAACGCAATAAAACAGAAAAAAAAGACTGTTATTTGAAAAATTTCAACTTTCGAAAAAATTTATATGAAAAAATATATTACAGCTTTTTGACTTTCTACAGCAATTTATGATTGAAAATTTTGATGAAACTAACTCAATTTGAGAAAACTGGATCAATGAGCAAAAAACTGGATCGCTGAAAAGTCTGCAATTTAAATTAACTTTCGAAACTAAAACTCGATCACGTTTTTCACGACTTTTGCTGTTCGATAGTTAAGAAAGGAAATGAATTGAAGTTTACAAGATATCAAAACTCGAAAAATCAAATTCGAGCTTAAGCAAAGTTTAAAAGCTTTTCTTGAAAAAATCACCAACTAAAAAAAACTATATAAGAGTAGAGTATTCACTACTTTCATGGCTCTTAATCAGCTTAACCTTATTGGATATAATTTATTAATTGGAACGCTAATTGGGACACAATTAATTAATTCGAAATTGAAAGCTCAAGTTTTTTTTTCAACTGGGAATTCTTAAACGTGAAACCCAACTTTGATGCTTGATTCAATCGTTTTTGTGCGCAATTTGAACTTTTGCTATTGCAGAGTGAAAAGCGCCTAGTATTTCGCAACTGAAAAACAACATTTTTTTTTAAATTAAAGAAAAATGAAACCGCAAGCAAAAGAAAAGCAATTAACTTGAACTTTTTCTGGAAACAAGAACATAGCCCACAGAAAATTGGAAAAGCATCAAAAATGTAAAAACAGCGCAAGCTTAAAACTATTTCATCTCAAAAACTAATCCATTTTGCAAAAAAATTCAACAAAAATCAAAAACGCAATATGCAAATTAATTTGATAGGCAAATTGAGAGGGAAAACCTTTGGAGACGTTCGTTTTCTTACGAGAAAGCGACCTTCACAACTATCTTCACTACAATTCAACCAGATTGTTTTGCTTTTTCGAGATTGTTTTTCTGTTTTTGTATAAAATCCAGAGGCGAACCTACACTTCCTAAATAGCAGCGATAAAACGGCAAAAGGAATATCCAAACAGTTAAAAACGTGAAGCAGGCAAAAGAAAAAAAACAATTGTAAGGGTCTTGAGCCCCTGACCTGGTTATTAATAATGCCACGTCATCGCATCTACCAAAACTAGCCACCAAAAAGCGATACAACAGATGGTATTTAACTGCCAACGTTATGCCAGCAAATCTATGAGTTGGTTTTTTGCGAGTTGGAATGAAAAAAATGAAGTTCGTAATGGGAAACTACGCTCGCCATTGTAGTACGAACGCTCTACGAGACAATTAATACGATTTCATATTCCATATGATCTAGTATGTGACCAAAAATAAAACCAGGAAATGACTCGACACCCACAGATTTCCGATCTGGAAATGACCGGAGTTTTTACGCTGACTTAATTTAGTTAGGATACCCTTCTTATCAGATAAACATGAATGGGTAATCCGTAATCAACGAGAAAAGTGTTATTTCACAACACGAGAAAACTCGATGCAAAAAAGAGCCACAATTCAAAATTAATTGGAGAGCAGCTTTAGCGGTTTTCTCAAATTGGCTAATAAGATTAGCGCACACTTGTCACGTTATTTTTCTTGCATTCTGAAGTCTTGAAAAAGAGTCGGACAAAACTCAATTCTTCAAAATGTATGTTCTAATTTTATCAAAATATTATCCAATTTTCAAAAATCTGCCGAATTAATTTCAGGACAGATTTCAGCAAGCAAAGAAAAAAACTTTCATCCGATCAATATAAAACACGCAGTTTCGAAAAATGATATTTTGTACAACAAATTATTATCACTAACTATTAATATAACAAACTTTAGTTTCGGATTCAATGCACTTTCCACAAACGGCTTCCAACTTCAAAGACAAACAAAAATAGGACCAGCATTCTTAAAACATAGCCAATCGAGTATTGGAAAAGAGTAATGAACGCAAGTAAACATCAAAAAAAACTCACTTTCTTGAAAAAACCTTTCGAATTTCAATGAAAAAAATAGATGCCCTTTAAGCTCTTTGAAATTCTAGTACAATTTACGATTGGCCTTTTTCTGATAACATTAACCCAACTTGAGAAAACTGGATCAATATTTGAAAATCTAGAAATTAAATTCCACTTTCGAAACTAGAAATCGTTCACTTTTTTTTGCGCCATTTCCACATTCGTATTTGGAGAGTGCTATTTACGTCACTTTCAGCAGATGAGTTTCAATTGAACTCAAAAAGTGCATTATACCTAATTGCATCAATAGTTTAAGACTTTTTACTAAAAAAAAGTCAGCAAGACCTTCACTACATTCATTACTCTTAAAGGGAGGTAGACAGTTCAAACAGCAGATTTATTTACGAGCCGATTCATTTAGGATCCGATGTAAATAATGATGCTTATTTAATATAAAACTCAATTTAATAGCTCACAAAATTGCAACTTTCGGCTAGTGAATATCAGCTTCTTTCGGATCAAATTACGGAGGAATGCACATGAGAATAATACAAAGCAACAAGTTTAGGTCAATTCTAAATACATTCAAGCTCGAATGTCATATTTTCTAAGTTCCTTTTGATTCACAGAGGGGTGAAACCTCAAGCGCTGTTTGAAGGACAGCTTTTATGTTATTTGTCTATTTTTTTCATCCTCCGTAATTGTATGAGTACTCTGCTTTGTTGTGCATTATGAGCCTGTCGTCCACAAAGTAAAAACTATCCGATTTAGTTTCCCATGGAGATTTCACCATCTGGTCAACTGAAACATAACAAACATAAGAACAGAAACTCGGCAGTAACAAACATAAGAACAGAAACTCCGCAGTAAATGTTTGAGCATTTATTCAGTCTTGCAATATTTCTTTAAAAAACTATTTTTTGATAAGCTTCCTATCAGGCAGGAACAGAGCTGAAGTGCCTTCGTACTGAAATTTGGGGGTGTATAGAAGCCCATTATGTTCTGTGCTCAATGTTTGAGAGTGATGCAGTATTTACAAACTTAACAAAACACAAAAAAATTGTGCATACAAATCAAAATCAAGAAAAAACCGCTCTTTTCCAGTCAGCGGTGAAGATGTGGTAAATTGGTTCTTTGTCTGATGAATGAATAGTTTATTAAAAACTGAGCACTTATCATCTTGCTCTATAAATAGATCAAGTAAATATCTTGAAGCTCATAACACGCGTGTAAGTCACTCGACTCTGATTGACAAAAAATCTTCTTCGTTAACGAAGAAAAAGTTACCAAGTTAAAACTTCCACTAATCAACCAATATATTACATCAACACTCCCAAACCCCCCCCCCCCCAATCACTTTATAGGAAAGGACATTGGCAATACGAAAAAGCATGCCTAAGTATCATCATGGCTACTTACTGGTGGCCTGGTCGAGTGGCGGGAAATCGTAGATGTGCTCGATTGAGTTGTGTGAGAGGGGCATGCAGAATCCGAAGTCGAAGTCAAACTCCTTCAAAAGTCTGTCTTTGAAGAAGTGACGTTCAACCATCCTGAACTTGTTCAGTGCCACTTCCCCTATCGAGAACTCTATCCTACAACACATCACTCATATGTTAGAACATAGCCATCTAATAGTTGGAAAATAGTAATGAACGCAAGGAAACTAAAAAAAAACTTGTTTTTTCAAGAGCCTTCAACTTTTGAATTTCGAAGAAAAAAGCAGATGGTCTTAAAGCTCTTTGAATTTGTAGAACAATTTATGAAGGACACTTTTTGTTAAAATTAACCTAATTTGAGAAAACTGGATCAATAAGTATAACTTTTATTTCGCTGGGAAATCTGATAATTAATTTCCATTTTCGAAATCAGAAGTTGATCACGTTTTTCGTGACATTTACACTTTTGCTGTTCAAGAGTGGAGTTTTCCTTTCTTTTAACAATGAAAACGCACTAACTTAGAAAAAAATCACAAGTCAAACAGCGAAAAATCAAAACTAAGCGTGAACAAATTTCAAGATTTTTTCCTGAATAAAAAATAAACAAGACCTATATAAGAGTACTCATTACGTTAATTACTCTTACTAAACCAAGCGAGTTGATGAAGGCACGAAGACAATGATAGTCATTACTTCTGGATGTCCCCTCAAAATTGCTGCAGTATCGGATTTAAGGAAGGGGAACTATTAGACCTCATCACAACCCCACAAATTGCTTCTTTCATTGTTTAGGCGGACCAAAAATATCCTTCCTTTCTCTCAAATTCTCAATAAACTGTAACAGCATACTAAACGCTTCCAAATTACCTGACATAACACTGCATGCCAAACCACCATTTTCGAAATAAAAATTCTCTTGGATCCAAAAAATTGAATTTTTATGAGGAACGTTTATGATAGACCACAAAATCTCCGGACAACAAACGTCTGCGAATAATTGCATGCTTCCTGGAACAGAAAAATTGGAAGAAACCACCCATCTCTATGGGCAGTTGTGGAAGAATTGAAAAAACAGGAAAAATTCACAAAAATGTATACTCCAAAATTTCGTAAGGTGAACCTCCACAGGAAAAAAGCGGCCTTTACTCAATGCCAAAATCCAGCGATTGAAAAACAATTATGAGAAGAATATTATCAGTTTGGACATTTATTGGAACAATTTAGGCGTGATTTGCCGAAATTTGTTTAAAAACATGAATGTAAATTTTACATGTCAATTATGCATAATTTATTCAATTCATAACTCTCCGGTAATATTCGGATTTGAAGTTTTATGTTCATTTAAATTAATGGTTTTGATAGGTATTGTCATTTTAAGTTCTTTTTGTATTTTTGAAACTTAACTCTAAAGGACAATTTTTTTGGCCCTTTCCTTTTGATAGCAGTGACGTCTAAAATGCTAGATCTGTAAAAAAAAATTCCTTCTAACTTCGTTTTTGTAGCATCCGTCTAATTTGCTTATCGTCTAATTTCCTAGGCCCCCATGATTTGCTTATTCTCTAATTATCCCAAGTTAATTGTTCTCAACATATTACAACCACAGATGAATAGGGAAGTTCTCAAGCGCAAATAACCAAATGCTCAAACTTTTATCAATCAGAATACATTAATTATAAATTCGATGCAACAAAGCGGCATTCTGTTTCTGAAAAGGCATCGAATGGTTGAAAATTTTCGCGCAGTCAGTCCTTGAAGTATGAAAAAAGCCCCCAGATGACAATAATGAATGTTCCCGTTTCTCGGCAAACTGACACTTCGGCAGATTGGTCCTTCAACCTCTTTTCTTACCGACGTGTCAAAACTTGAAATGCATTGCCCTGATATTTAAGAAAATATACCGATTATAAGAAAATATTTTAGGACGGTTTAGTACAAGGGTGCCGAAGTAAAGGAGCAGCCAAAGTTTCACAAGGACTTTCGAAAAGATGATGATGTAAACATCAAGTTGCAATGGCAAGAGAAAGCGATAAAACTTCTGTAATTGTTTAACTTTCCATTCGCAATCTGCTTTGGCTGTTCTTCGAAAATGAATTACTTGGAGAGGCGAATTCCTACAGGCTAATCCTAGGCAGAGTTGCAAGCCTCATTTGAACCTAATTTTTACTGTAAATAAATGACATTCCATAGCTGAACTATAAATTGTCACACCATGATTTCACATCTTGTAATCTAACCTCATTGATATTTGTATACGTTAGTAGAGATCACTCACTTTGTGAGCAACTATCATGACCGGTTGCCAGCATAAAATATAACAAATTTAACTTGTGAAATGGCGTTCTGAACTGAAACAAATCAAAGCTATTAGCTTTGTTACATGGTGGCAGCGACAGAGCGCTCCTAGCGCCTGAATCCCGCATCTAGCTCATGGCTTGCTTTGGAGTGTTAGGCGGATCAACATTCAACCAACGGTGTTCCTTCTGAGGATAATACTTTTGGCCAGCTTTATCAGACCTTCAACACTGCAACAAGAAAGCAGCAAGAGTAGATCCGTTCGGATATGGCCGTGATTGCAAAACGAGTTAAAACTAGAGCAAATTGTGTGCAAAACCCAGGCTGATGGCGTGGATATCTGCGCCTAACATCCAGAGGGCAAAAAGAAAAAGTCAACACAGTGCTCTAACAAAAATCTGCGCAAAAAACAGCAACGAGCCACATATTGAGTGATATGGAGGGAAGAGTGATATTCCATAGCTGTACTATGAACTGTCACGCCATGATTTCATTAATAATTATTAATATGTAAAGATCACTTACTATGTAAGCAACGATCAAGACCGGTTGCCAGCTTAATATATAACAATTTTAACTTGTGCTATAGCGTTTTGAACAAAAAGACTCCAAAGCTATCAGCTCCATTACAAATGAATTGACACTTAATTTGTTTTGAGGCTGGTGATTCTGCTGGAACTCAATTAATTTATAAAATATTCATTTACAAACAATTCTCCTTGAGTAGCATCATGAATTTTACAAAGTAAAAAATTACTAGAGCAATTTAAAAAATATATTCATACGTTTTTTTCCCTAAAGTTCAAACAAATCCGAAGATAAAGCCATTAGAATGTTGAAAAAAATTTTTAATAATTCAAAGACGGTTTTTCCGGCTTAGTGAAACTTATTTGAGCTTTCGGCACTCTTGAACACCTCTATTAGGATATAACGCACTCTCGAGGAAAGAAAGTGGTAAAGTCTCGACATCATCATCATCACCACCACCAAACATTGCCTATTCTATTGCCTCTCAAATGTTTGTAAAAAAACTGATATTAATTATATAATTAGTCTGAAGGCAATATCTCAAGTGATCATCTTACACGGTATCTTTTAAACATTTAAATCATTGTGCTCAATGCTCTCACGTTAGTGATAAACCATTGATCATCATTATCAAATAAGGTAACAAAATGTTAAGTTGGTTAGACTTACGTGGCGCCCACTTGTTTCAGTTTGAGGAAGTGAGGGCTGAACTTGTATCTGACGAATCTGCCACTGTTCTCTGAGGATGCACTGCTGGCGTGGCCCTGGTCTCCCCCTCGCGGACTCACTGAGTCATCGCCCCTCTCCTCCCCTCCCCTCTCTCCATCCGGGTCATGGTGCTCGTCTGTAACACACGGCAAAATGAAAACAAAATAGTCATTAACGGCTGAAAAAAAATGAAAAATTCACTGCAACACCCAAAAGAAACTGTAACAAAAGAAACTTATCCGATTTCTACTTAAAGCCCGCCAAACCTTTATTGATATTACTAAGATATCATTCAACTATCCGACCGAAAACCGAAATATCAAACTAAAATTGGGTAGATATTGGTGGGTTACACAAAAATCTTAATGTAAAAGAGCTTGATGGTTTAATATTAAACCAAAATTTATTCATGGACAAATAAAAAACTTGAAGGATATAAATCTTATGAATTTATAAAAAGAGATAAAAGCTTTATCGATAACAAAATTCTAACAGCTTATGAGCGCTATGTGCAGTAGCGGAAAAAGTTCGACAAATAAGGTCGAGAAATTCCTAGATCAGCGCCTGCCTATGTGTAAGAATTGCTGAAAATTAGCTTTCGTTCTCTAAAACAGAGAACTCCAAATTCTTTCTTAAATTTCGTGTACTTAATAAACGTATAACCATACGCAGAGGCGAATCGCAGCATCGTATCACTTGCGATAGAACGCAATTTTAAAAACGTAGAAAGTCCAAAGTAGAATAATGTTTAGAAAAACTAGGTCTACCAAAAATTCAATTGTTGTATGGCTCGATAGAAGTTCATTTTTGGCACATATTCCAAAAATTTGAATATCAAACTAGCAACAGACTCAAGTATATGAACGGGAAACAAATTGAGCAATTGAGTCGAAAAAAAATGAATTCAAAAAAAAACATTTCTGTTTTAAGTCAAGGATAAGAAAATCCGTGACGTGGCAAACAAAGCCATAACACCAGTTCAAAAGTTTCAAATCCCCCTGAAAATGCAATGAACACACTTGCACTTGCAACCACAACGAAAGTGGCTTTCAGCACAAGCAAAATACGCGATGTGGTAAATAAGCCCACAAAACTGAAGAAGACCAACGAAAGTCCGACAATTCAAACTTTTACCGGAATAAAATTTTCAAATCCACACTTACTGAAAAAAAAAACGAAGCCCGGTAGGGACTCGAACAACAGACCTTGAGGTGCAAAGTCGACAGCGCTACTTTTATGCCAAGTGTGAAGGAAAATAAAAGTTGAAAATGTTCATTAAAAAAAGGTTGGAGACATGTACGAAAAGTTGTTTACGGGAAAAAATCTAGTTCCCGATTGCAAGACACTTCTCGCAAGTGTAAATACAAAAAAAAAATCGAGTTTTTGTACCTATGATCATTTTTCTGCAAGAAAAAGTGCTACTAATTGACAAATATATATTCCAAATGCTTGAATATAACGAATGTCAATCACTAACTCTTAGAAAAAATGGGGCATATGTCGATCATTGATGACAATTACTTGTTCATAAGTTAAAGTTTAATTATAATATTTGCTATAATACTTGGAAAAAACACATGGTTCTTACGACTGCTGCTTAAATGTTAACAAAACTGCTATTGTAGAGAAAAAGTAGAGCGATTTTTATACTCTAGTTATTCAGAAATCGCATATTAAAAAATTCCAATAGTTTAAACAATGGTTTTGTCAAGGGTGTTCAATAATCAAACAACAATTAAAACGATGAGAGCTTGTTTAGTCCATCTTAAGTGTATGCGAATTGGGCTACCTTTGATAGCTTGAGGAAAATTCAATTCAAAGAGGATTAAAGTGATATATTTTTTTGTCCAAACCTTGAAGAATATAACAATAATATCATTTGACTCAAGGATGATTCTTAATGGATAGTGATTAAGCCCTATGTCTATCCTCTCCCTGGCCATTGCATAAGATAAATGTTTGCTGATGTTGCATAACACTTGATTTTAGAGAAAATCTTTCCGTCTTTCTTTCATACCCTTCTCTGAAATAAACTGTTGAAAACTAAAATTGTTTATGCTGACCAATTTTTAAGATTTCGTGACCTTTTGCTTAGTACCTATTTTCAAAAAAAAAAAAGATTTTGGATTAATAAAGAATTAAATTTTCTCTTCTTGGGAAGTTTCAACCCATCAACGGTAGAAAGAAAAGTTTTAAATTTTTCTGTCCTTGAATAAGAAACTGTTTTCTGTCCTTGAATTAAGCATAGCAAACAGATGATTGGAACTGTAAAAAAATCAAAAACGAAAAAAAAAAATGGACTGAGGATTTTGAATACTTTTCATCTTAAAAAAAAAACATCACGTTATAGCTCTTTGTATTTTACACAGAATCGAAGCTGGGCTTCGCAAATATTAGTGAAAAAACGTCAAATATCCAGGAGCTTTAAACTGCACAAAAAACAATTTTGCACGAAAAAAAATTGCAGAAAAGTAATTTTGCAGCCTACTGCTTGAAAAAGGGCCCCAAAAACAGTATATCAATAGATTGGCATTCAAATATGAATTTGAAAAACCATAACTAAAACCTCGAAAAATAAAATTTGAGGGTGAACAAATTTTTTCAAGACATTTGCCTGAAAAAAAATCATCACGTCCTATATGTGATAATCACTTCGTTCTTTTACAAATTAACAAGCGTGTACTGCACCACCGGTGCTTCGAATTTTCAACAACTCAAAATAAAAACTTTTCTTTGAGTGTACTCTGACAGCACCCAATTACAGGGTTCGTGATTAAAAATTTTGCAAAGTTTTTTATACAAATTTTGAAGAACCATAAAATTTTGTAAGTTTTATACAAGTTCTTCGAAAAATTTAAAATGAACTAAAACACGTCACATCTGGAAAACTGAAAGCAATTGAGCAGACGCATTTGGACGCAAGATTTGCAACTCCTGAGAGTAACTTCAAATTTTTAAAATTTTCCATTCGATTTTTTAATTCAAATTTTGAAAAAACCATAATTAATTGTGACATTTTTATATCTAAGTATATAATGTATTAAGAAACGTCACATCTGGGAAACTGAAAGCAATTGAGCAGTCGCATTTGGACGCAAGATTTGCAACTCCTGAGAGTTTTCTTGCAGTACCCAACTACAATGTTGGGAAATTCAAATTTTGAGAAACTGCACCTTAAGTTTTGTATAAGAGGTAATTTTTTTGAAAACCAGAAAAAAAGTACATCTCGAAAACTACCAAATTTGAGCAATCTTCTTTGATGGCAATATTCGCAATCTTTGAAAGTACACAACTACAGGGTTGGCAATTTCACTTTAAAAAATTATTTTGTAATTTGAGTTTTCCGAAAAATTCAAAAAATCGTCGTATCTCTTATACAAAAATGATTTAGCCATTCTTAATTTTGAAAAAAACTTTAAAAAACGCCGTATCTCGAAAACTACAAAAACTTGAGCAGCCAAATTCAGAGGCAAGATTCGCAACCCCCTGAGATTACCCTCACAGATTCCAATAACAGGATTGAGATCTTCAAAGTTTTGGAATTTTTTAACATTAGTTTTTTAGAAAATTTCGATGAAAATCATAAAAAAACGTCATATCTCGAAAAGTACCAGGATTTGAGCAGTCATAATTGGCAGCGAAAATCCAAAAAATCCACATCACGAAAACTACAACAATTTGAGCAGCCATAGTCAAAGGCAAGATTCGCAATCCCAGAGAGTACTCTCACAATATCCAACACCAGGATTGAGATCTTCAACTTTTTGGAATTTTTTAAAATCTAAGTTTTTCAAAAAATCATAGAAAACGTCATATCTCGAAAACTACAAGGATTTGAGAAGTGAGAATGTGGGGCAAGATTCGCAACTCCTCAGAGTACCCTGGGGGTTGCAACACATGCAAAAATAACAGATTGAAAAAGCTTAAACATGGCGAGATAGTGAAGCCCGCATTTAAATATATAATAGATAGATAGATAATAGATGAAAATTAAAAAATTAGGCGACGGGTAGACAGACATAATCAAATCAATTTAAAAAGCAGGTATACAGACAGACAGACAGACAGACAGGCTTAATTTGGCCTCGGAAAAATACTGACAAATTATTGACCTTGCGAAAAACTAAATGAAAAATTTTCTTAAGCATTGCAATATATGCTATAGCTTAAACATGAAAAAATTCTTTCGTTAAACATGCAAAATTATTATGCTTAAACATGGGAGATAGCTGTCACTCGCATTTATATATAGTATAGATAGATAGATATAGATTAAATATATAATAGATAGATAGATAATAGATGAAAATTAAAAAATTAGGAGACGGGTAGGAAGACAAAATCAAATTAATTCAAAAAGCAGGTATACAGACAGACAGACAGACAGACAGACAGACAGACAGACAGACAGACAGACAGACAGACAGGCTTAATTTGGCCTCGGAAAAAATACTGACAAATTATTGACCTTGCGAAAAACTAAATGAAAAATTTTCTTAAGCATTGCAATATATGCTATAGCTTAAACATGAAAAATTCTTTCGTTAAACATGCAAAATTATTATGCTTAAACGTGGGAGATAGCTGTCACTCGCATTTAAATATAGTATAGATAGATAGATTATCAAATTATTAGAAATTCAAGAAGAAGTAGAAACACGAGCTTGAGTGCTATCCAACCTTGTTGTGGCTTGGCTACCTCGAACAGAGTGTGTCCACTCTCTAGGTCTCTGATTTTGAATTTGGTGAAGTCTATTTTGTACTCTGTGCTGTTCACCTTGCAAAGGTAATCTAAACACGATACACAGACATCAAATCAACTATGAAACATAATTTTTAGATCAACATGTTCACCTTCTATGCTCACACGCTGCCTATTCAAGATATGATAGTGAAATTATTTCTATTTTTTTTTATAAAGAAGTCTATCCAATTCCAAAATGTATTAATTGTGCATTTTAGTAGACTATAACTCTATTGCCACTTTAAATCCTCGTGATTCAAGGCCTTGAACGTAGAAAGAAATTACCAGACCAGAAATATACAGGTAGTGATTTTAGGACGACAACCCAGAACTACCTATTAGCTCCTGAATAAAACGGATCTCTGATAACATTTAAACCCAAAGTAGCGCCTCACTTTGCATGATAAAATCAGGCTCAGCTTTCCAAGAAAAATTCAATTTTTATTAGCTTTTGAAAAACCTCACCGTCAGCTATACAATTGAGTCTCTTCACGTCATTTGGTGTGATAACCTCCTTGCCATGAAGATCCTGCATGGTGATGGGAGGACCAACTGCAGCATTTCTAGAGGGAGATCCCCCATTCGAGGCACCACTGCCGATGTTGAGACGTCGCAACATCCCGGAGGCAGATCCTACTCCTCCTGAGTCCACTTTACTCTCGGGCATTCTTCCACTTGGACTTGCACGATTCAGAATAGGACTAGAGTTGATATCATACAGAATTGCAGCTTATGAACTGCTTTCTTCGATAAATTATTCTAATTATGCCTTCTCTTCATATGCTAATGTACAAATACTATCTGAAATTTATTGACGATCTTTCGTAAAATATAGATATTACGTTGACGCAATACAGACTCCGCTATTTAAATCGAAAGTCGTAACGACATAATCATTGAGCAAATAAATGATAATGATGCCTCGTCTAACTTCAAGCCAAATTTCAAAGTATTGTAAGTTACCTCAAATACAGTCACGGAGTTTCGAATCGCCTGAAAATTACAAGAAAAAATCGATAAACAATTTCCTAAATGATCAGGGGCGGATTTAGGGAAGGGGCAGACGCTCCGCTCCCCCCCCCCCCCCTAATGGATTCGACCCCCAGCTGACCCAAAGGTCCCCCTTTGTACTACTTCGGGATATCCACTTTTGGCTGACGGACCCAAAAATGTTTTGTAAAGGCGCCTTAGGCGCCAATATATACTAACTTTAGGGGGGAGCGCACGCCAAAAAACGCAATTTTTTTGGTAAAAATTATTTTATTTAGGGAAGGAACGGACGCTCATTTTGAAAAATTGAATTACATATCGAAATGACCTTTTTCAAGATACCACCTCTGGCATCAAAATAAGGTCGACTTGGCTCCTTGTACCTCAACATTTACTTTCCTGAAGACTTAGGAACAATAAATTGAATGTATTGGTTCATTTTTATGCGACTTAAATAACGTTACAGTGAAATTGAAAAGTATCACAACAGGAAAACTGAACACAGCATTAAAGAATTCCAAACAAATTCGAAAGAATTCCAAACAAATTCGAGTTTCCAATTCAATCCTATCTAGTAGATAAAAGATTTGACAATCGGAAATTGCTCCTCCATCATTATTAGATACTACTGCGCACCACGATGACAAAACTAGACATTGCTTACAGCATATTATATCTTGACATTTCACGAAATAATTAATCATTTTTTGAAAGTCTTGATGAGCTACAATTCAATGTATTGTCTGAACCCCAGTTTGTCTAAGGCTCTGAGCTTTTTTAAACAATTTTTAGTTTAAAAAAACATATAAAACTTAAAGCTAATAGTATGCTACAAGCGATAAAAGTAAATCAGACTAGAAAAGAATGAAACGAAAAGGCCTTACAAATTTCACTTACATCACATAAGCTCAATGACTGATAATTAACGCTGTTAACTAATCCCACTTTTGATAGAATAAAACTGTTTTTGTTTTCAATAGCGAAAGAACCACACAAACACTGAAGATGCAATAAGGGATATCCTGTCGAATATTCATTCTAGCCTTTTTAACGAAATCTTACAATTGAGAAATTAGACTTCCAATCAGAAAAAATGTTGACAAAAAATGGCTCTCCTACCTGACTCATCCCAATTAGTCTTTGAAAATTTTAAAGTTAAGAAGACACCACTTATCAGCAAGAAGAAGGACCAAAAATCCATCTCTTCAGCTCTTTACGAAGAAACATGTTAAACACCAAATTAAATTCCGGCAAAACTTGCATTACCATTGATGAGCTAATAAATTCTGAGCAAACGCAATTTCAACTTCATTCAGCCTTCTCTTCTTTATTTGAACTTAGTTCAGCGGAGAAAGAGCCAATTTTTCTTAAATGATAGTAACTTTTTATTCGACCCAACATCACAAATTGCAACAGTTAACTACGTGTAGTGTCATGGTGGGGTGGTGAAACATGGGTTTAAATTAGTTTGACTTGGGCTTGAAAGGAGCATTGGATGGTTTGTTGGAGTCTGTTAAGAACTCCTTGCCATTGTAGAGTCTGTTCGGCTGCAGTTGTCGTCTAGGACGCCCATTCGTATCAGAACCTGAAACATAAAATGTGGATTTGAAGTCAACATTCTGTCTTGCGGGTGAAGTGTCCACAAATGGCCAACTCGTATCGAAGCATATTTTATACTGAAGTAAATATAGAAGCGAGGCAGAGCTTTGCACCACTTGCAATACCACAAAAACATACCATTACACTGAGGCGAAGCTGCGCTTCGCAAAGACAAGAAGGAAAATGCAAAAAAGAGCTCAAACACGGAAAGTGAACTAAAGAAAAGATTAAAAAACCTTGAATATTTTTTTTGAGACTAGGAGTATCACGTGCTCATATCTGCTCCACAACCGCTTGTATTTTTACTAACACCAGCCACCAATAAAGCAGCTTCAATTTCTATTAAAATGCCAATGTTAAGCAGCAAAAATTCGACCAAAAAAATAACTATTAAAATGTTCCGGATTTGAAGATCCGATTTTGTGAGTAGGAGTCTGACGCCCTCGCATTTGCGCCATCGTCGCTTGGACGTAAGCTAATGGCCCAGCTAATGATGGATCTACCTGTTATAATAATTATAATCATAAATTGTAGTGATACGGAAAAGCCTAATTTTCAAAAAAAGGACTTTAAGTTAAACCCTAGTGTTTCTCTGCTAAGTAGGAGATTAACCGCGTATTTAAAGAAGAAAACAGCTAGCTCTTCGAAGTCTGAATCTCAGATTTGGCTAGGTAGTTTTCGAAAGAAGTGAGAGAGTTTCCAAAAATCGACTAAAAAATCAAAAGTTTGATTTTTCTAAATCCATAAACTTTTATCCTCTAAAGCATGGGAATAGCCTCTGCTTTCTACAACCTTTTTTAAGATTGAAAATTTCCGCACCTTGATTCTTTAGATTGAACCCTTAAAATCAGATTTAGGAGGTAGTTTTCGAGATTAGTGACAAAACTTCTAAAACGGTAAAAATTTAAGGAATTTTTCGAAAGTCCTCAGTTTTTCTACAAAAATCAGGGTAAAACAGATTACTCAGGGAAAATCTAAGCACCATTTTGGTTTTAATGAACTATCAACCTCAGAACCAGCAGGTTAGTTTTGGAAAAACAAAATAACTTTCCAAAAACGGGCAAAATTTCAAAAATTGTAGACACATTTAAGGCCATATTTTTTTTTTTGCAAAAGCATAGCATAGCATAGCATAGCCGCTTGCGCAGGTAGGATTCAGACGATTGATTTTTTATTTAGCTGAAATCCTTAATCTCCAATTTGGCAGGGTAGTTTTTGAGAAAAGTCCAAAAAGTGTTAAGAATTAATCAAAATGACAAAAAAAATGGCTTTTTTGAGGCAATTATTTTTTTCTGCCAAATTTAGGGAATAATTTTTGAGAAGGGGAGATCTCCATAATTTGTTCTTTTGATTAAAACCGTGATCTCAGACTTGATCTCGCATTTGATATTTGAGAAAATGAAAAAACTCAAAACAAATATGTCAAAAAACCCCCCTACTGAAATTTTCGAAGGTCGTAGAACGTGAGATAAAATGAAACGACACAAGCAAAAAAAATGAAGGCACATAAAAAAAGCAGCCGGTTTTTCCTTTGGTACCATTATTTTGAAAACCCTTACAAATGTTTTTGAGAATTAATGAAATTTCTGCAAAACATTTCCAAAGCGTTGAAAAATTTAACGAAAAACAACAAATCCCATACATTTTTACAAAACATGTCTTTTTCAAACATGACTTAACACTAGCGAAAAATAAAGCAGCAACATATGCCATTAAATTGTTTATGCTTAAATGAGTTTTAATATGATTAAATTGAAATATAACAAATGGGCACTTTTATTTGCGACTTAGGTTAGAAAAAAAATTCTTCGTAATAATACACTCCGCTTCGCTTGTGTAAAGAGCTAGCAGACAAAAGATGGAACGAAAGCCAATAAGTTGAAAACCAACAGCTAGGAAAATTTCATAATTATGCCTCGAAGGATGTTCCATTTAATGAAAACACGTCAAGCAATGAGATCGATAGCGTAAAATAAATATTTCAAATCAATTATCGATTGGCAACAAAGCCGAAAAACTTGCAATAAAGCAACTAAGTGATTCTGTTACAAGTTGTTCACCAGCCAAAAGTCTATATTCCATTTGATTACGCATGCTAACTGCAAGCGTAAAAAATTAAATCAGCTTACCGCTGCCAGTTTCTCCTCTGTTTCCAGGCAAAGCTCGATTCGGATCATTCTCGTCTTCTGAAATCTCCTCAAAAATATCGTCCCCGACATTTTGTCGTGTTCCCTTTCCCTGATCATGTTGGCTCGTTCCCACCGTGAAGCCCCCACTTGAATCCTGTCCTTGTTCAGACATATTCCCCGCAACACCTCCGGCTGCACCTGGCCCTCCGGTTGATCCGGTTTTGGACTGGACGTCGAATGAGGGCACTACTACTCTGGCCTGTTTGCGGCTGAGGTCTTCGAGTGTTGATTTGGAAGTGTGAGGTCCTTTCACAGAGATGGTATAGAGGCCTTCCTCGCGATAGCGGGATCCGAACTTACTCGAATCCGCGACCTACGCAAAACCAAATCTGCTTCTATTGTTGAAATCACTAGAATATTATAGGCTTGAAATTGACAGGACAATCAAATACATATTCCAATACTAGTTACTCGTTTTGGGAAAAAGTTGCTGCGTTTTCTCTTCCAGTTTCCCAAAACGAGTAACTCAGTTTTCGCGTGAGTTAAAATGATGATCGAAATAGAAGACTAAAGAGACCAGGAGAGTGAAACAGTTTTTAAACCTGTGACTTGAGAGAGACAATTTCCGCTCTAAGACTGTCAATTGTATCATTGAGACGATTAATCGCAATCAGCATCTCGGGAGCAGAGGCAAAATTCACACCGCTTCCTGCAGCTGCCATGTACTCGAGTGATCCCTGACCCATCATCGCTCCACTTGTGCCCCCCAAATGGGGGTGTGTGGGGATTCCAGACTCGACTGCCGAGGGAATCATCAGGGCTTGTTGAGCTGCCACTCCCACCGATGACATAGATTGCTGAAACATCAGAAGACAAACAATGACTAACGATAAACCGATGTTGAAACGCATTCAAAAAAGCAGCAGACAGTTAATTTGAAAAATTTGCAGAACTAGATAGTAAAAAATAACAGGAAAAAAATAACACGTAATCAACAGACAGTTAGAAAAGAGTCAATGAGAAGCAAGGAAACAAAAAGCTTCCGAAACTCAAATTAAAACATTGCCAACAGACAGTTGGAAAAAAAGGCAATAAAGACAAAAAAATTGGCTTGTTTTTTGGAAAAACTTCAACTTCCGAAATGCGAACAAAAAATTATATGGCCCTAATCGTCTTTGAACACAAAACAAATTATGATTTGCACATTTTCGATAAAATTATCCCATTTTGAGCAAAATGGATCAATAAGTAAAATTTTTGTTTCACTCGGAAACCTGAAAACTAAATTCTACTTTCGAAACTAGAAGTCGATCACGTTTTTCGTGACATTTAGACTTTTGCTATTCGATATTTCAGTTCGCCTTCCTTTTAACGAAGAGAATGAACTGAACTGAAAAAGAAATCAATAATTAAACTGCAAAAATGTAAATTTGAGCCTGAACAAATTATAAGACTATTCCTGAAAAAAAAAACAATCAAAACGTATTTAAGAGTCTGATTTACGTTCATCGAATCTTAAACATAGCCAACAGACAGTTGGATAAATGTCAAAGAACGCAAGAAAACTGGAAAAAGTCTCTGTTGGCTATGTTTAAGAGTCGATGAACGTAGTTCAGACTCTTATATAGATTGTGATGATTTTTTTTTCAAGAAAAGTATTATATTTTCAGACTCCAATTCACTTTTTCGTGGTTTAACTATTGATCTCTTTTTCAGTTCGAAAAAATTACTGTTTTTGAAAAAAATTTTAAATTCAAATCTTTCACGTTTTTCGTGACTTTTACACTTTCTGTTTGATAGTTGAGTTGCCTTCGTTGTAACAAAGGCAAGTGAACTGATCTTAAGGCTTGTAAAAGAACTGAACTTAAGAAATCAAAAGCAAGCCCCGATAGCACAACTTGAATGTAATCAAATTTTAAGACTCTTTCCTGAGAATTAAAAAAAACTCAGCACCACCAATGTAAGTGCCTGCACTGCGTCCTTTCACATTTAAAAACGTTGCATTACAAGCTAGTTCATAGAAAACAGAAGGAAATCAATTTCTTTGAGAAATTAAGTTGAATTATTTGAAAAAAAATATATACTTGGAAAAAGTAAAACATAGAAGCGAAGTTGTAATTCGCATACACAAGCAAAAATATGGCCGATAACGCTCCTAGGAAAAACTGAATGAGAAAAACTTTGAGCCTACAAAATTTACGACGCCATTTATGACGCATTAGCAAAACCAGTCAAAATGAAAAAAAAATACCAACTAACATGCCTCAATTTTTAGAGCGGACGAATTTTAGCTAGTATACGGAAAAGTTCATAAAAACATCCGACCCTGGCCAGGTTCGAACCCTCTTATTTTGATGCTGTTCTCCTTCCCGACCTCTACGCTACAGATCCATGATACCTTGAAGCTAAATTGTTATTTGTAATATAATAGTTTGTGGTAATACCCTTAGTATTGGCTGTACTTAATAGCTGCTTATTGGTCAAAATGAACACAATTTGTCGCAACAATATTTGCGACTTAGCTTGGAAAAAAAAGAGTTCATACTATAACACAAGTTTTGCTTGTGTAAAAAACTATGTCTGTAAAATTTTTATACCTTTGCTTCGGATGATGAGCGAAAACAGTTTTGAAAAGCATGAGAATTATTTACCCAGCAGCAATCTGAGGCGACAAAAATTGGGTTGACCCTCGTTAAGCCGAAAACAATCTGTAGCAAAAAAAATTAAATGATAAAAATTTTTTACGACTCGTCCCTACCGAAACACGCAAAAGTAATTAGAAACTTTGGTATTTCGTTCAGCCGATATAAGATATATCAAAACCGTTAAATCGATACATGCAAAATATATAATAAATCACAGCTGGTTCATTTAAAAAAAAACAACTTTCAATTAAAGTAAAAACTTCAAATCAAATCAAAACCCAAGCTTTCGAAAGAACCACAAAATGAACTGCATTTGATCAAATAAATGAAAATTGAGCTGACATAAAAAATACGATAAAACAAAAATCTGATTGAAAAAATTACTGCCTAAATTGAACTACAAAGTAGTTTTATTTGAATTTTCCAAAAACGTTTACGGAAAAAAATCTAGTTCCAAATTACAAGTACACTTGCTCTCGCGAGTATGCAAAAAAAACACATTTGTTGTTGGCGGTGCTTAAATTTAAGGATTCCTGTTTTGGGCTTGGGATAAACTCCCATGAGACATTGAATGCTTGTCTATCCTCTCCCGAATCTCATTGAAAATGTCATGAGTCAATTTAACCGGATTTTGTTTTGATATTGATAACCAAGAATTTAGTTTTCTTTCTTTTAACACCATTTCCACTTTATACTCAGATAGCGTAATTTATCTTACCTTTAAAAAATTAATTTGAACTTAAAAAGGAATCAAAAGTCAAACAGCAAAAAAACGTGTCATGATCAAACATCAAAACATTTTGCTGAAAACAACACAATTCAACACGACCTATATAAGTGTCTTAACTGCGTTCATAAATACTTACAAACATGACCTAAAATTCCTTCTTATTCACTAAAACTTAACGCGTACAACCCATAAAAGAAATATGCATGCAATCAAACATGCTTTAAACCTCGAGTTTGCAATATGTAATCCCGTTAATAAATCATTACTTGCGCAAACAAATATTTATAAGAACACAGCCAACAGACAAATAGAAAAGAGTTATGAGCGCAAGGAAACAAAAATATACTTCTTTTTGAAAATCAAAGTAAAAAGTAAAGACTTAAAACTCTTTGAATTTCAAGAACAATTAATGATAGACATTTTTACAAAAAATTAATATAATTTGAGAAAACTGGATCAATCACTAAACTTTTCATTTCGCTAGGAAACTTGAAAACTAATTTCCACTTTCGAAACTAGAATTGGATCATAATTTTCAACATATTTTCATTTACATAATTGGAGAGCTCACATATCTAACTTTTGAGCAGATGAAACTGAATGCAAATCAAAAAGCTCATGGATACCTAGAAGCACTCATTAATGCTTTAATAAGTATCAATGCACTTCTGTAGTTATTAGAGCATTTTAAGACTTCCTGAAAAAAAAATTATCGCGGCCTATATAAGAGTATGAACTTCGTTTATCGACCCGTAAAAATGGATGGCATTAAAGCTCATTGAATTTCTAGAACAATTTATGCCTGACTCTTTTTTGATAAAATTAACCCAATTTGTGATAACTGGATCAATCACAATTTTTTTTTCACTTCGCTGAGAAATCTGAAAAATAAATACCAATTTCGAAAAAAGAACTCGATCATGCTTTTCAAGACCTTTACCTTTACGTAATTGGAGAGCGCACATTACCTAACTTTTAGCAGCTGAAACTGAATTGAATTCGAATAGTGCATTTATGCCAAGAAGCATTCCTAAATGCATTTATATGTATGAATGCCTTTCTGTAGTTAATGGAGCAATTTAAGAAAAGTAATTTGGAACCTGAACAAATTTCAAGATTTTTCCTAAAAAACCAAAAAAAATAATAACGACATTTACATGAGTCTGAACTACGTTCATTGACTCTAAAAAATTTACGTTTTTAATATAAACCTGCCTATAAAATTTGGATTTCAATAAGGAGAGATTTTTTTACCAACCAATACATTCTGGGTGTCCAAATGAGCATGAGTCTGTTGCATTGCCCCTCCCCCTCCCAGCTCACTCAACAACTGAGCGTGTTCAATCTCGGCAGAATCCCTCCCCAGCAGACCAGATGGGTTGTTGCTGCTGTTATTGTTGATCCCCTGGGGGTCAAACTGGTGATGATGATGATGGTGGTCAGATGATAGTTTGGCCACTTTGCTTCGTCTGCTTCCACTTGGCTTCGGGGTGCGTCCAGTTAGAATGTTTGGCTAAAACAGTCATATGGGACTTCATTGATTGACATGCAAGCAAACCCCAAAATAGTACAAAACTCATACTGCGGTTTGCACTAGTACGAATACAGTATCTTTATCAGAGTTGCAATTGATTCAAGCCCCATTTCAAAGCCCCCCTCATTACTTTATGGTGTAACGAGTAGTACAAGGTTAATTATGCAGAGGTTAATTAGTGGTGCAACATTCGAACATAGCCTTCGAATTTTAGTCAAAAAGATAAGAACATTAGCCGAGTTTAGAACGTTCGTTATTTCATTCGGATTTTCTGTTCTCTTGAGAAAAAATGAAGATCAAAACTTAAGCGAAAATACTTCAATTTTCATGCAAAAAATTTGGATATTCCCACGATATCCAGTAGTTGCTGCTCTTTTCTTGGTTGAAAAGTTTCCAGCTGTGCTGAACACACGCTCAGGAGGATCAAAGCAGCTTCAATTTGCTAGTAGCTTTGTTGTTTTTCGCTCGCTAGACAAGTCGATTAAAAAACTCCATAACACGCAGGTTACAAAGGACAAAATAATCGCGGTAGCCTTCGAAAGCTTTTCTGCGAATGAATATTCAAAATTCGGTTGCACCAATACTTGTTATGGCTTAATTTGTCAATTCTGATTACAATCAGACAACGTGAACAATCATTTTACTTGTAAAAATTTGCATGTGGGGGAAGGAAAAAGAGCCCAAAGCACAAATAAATGAAACTGAATTATCAAATATCTAGGTTTAAAATTTGGCTTTCTAGAAAACTATTTTTTTGAACTTTCACTAAACTCAATTAGAAAACAAAGTTAAGCAATGTGCATTAAGAGCGGAACGCAAAATGAGCATAAACAAATCAGTCGAAGCTTAACTCACTGTAGCTTCTGTAGGTTGAATGAACCTCTGCATCTCTCGCACAGAGAACAGAGTCTCGAAGGGAGGATCAAGTGAGTCATTGTCCGACTGGCCAGGGGCCTGGCAACACAGAGAGACTATGGCCCGATGCCAACAGGCCTTCTCCGCCCCCACGCCACAACTGCAACTGATTGTGGGCTCGTATTGCACGACTAAGTACCTGTCAACGACTACCACATTATTCAACACGCCCAATTTTATCAAATTAGCTCTTAAACTATGCGGCCTTACAATTAAATTAATTTAGATCTTAATTGCCACATCACAAAAAAAAACACCACAATCATTATATCGTTGATTGAAAAAAAACATTCAAAACAAAATAAAGTCTTGTTGAAGCGTCACTTGATAGGCAATGGAGCACTTTTAAAGCATCGCGGAAGTAACCGGTAACGCTACTTAGAGCAAACATTTTTCTATTCATTTTAGTCTCAGACACTATTTCATTATACTTGTAATCATCTTGTCGCCGCAGATCACAATACTTTCACCAGAATTTGTTCATTGATAGTTTTTAGTCTACCTCTTTTGGATGTTGTTCTCATTGAAACATGAGTAGATAATATGTGAGGTAACATGAGGAGGCGCTCGCAGAACACAGACTGCCGGGACACCGTGCTGGGCTGCTGAGTTACAATACTGCTTGTAGCTCTCCACAAAGTCTTTGTGGCAGTTGTCCAGAATCTGCTGGTCGATGAAGATAGGCTCCGGGGCACTTGCTGGGCCATCCTCCACCGCAACGCAATGTTCACACTCTTCGATGGAACCTTAAGCAATTGAGACAAAGCATAAAAATAATTCAAAGATATATAACCAGATTTTCTTCATTACGCACGTCATTTTAAGCCGTGGTAGTAGCATTATTAGATTTTTTGCTATAAAACCAATATCGCCAGAGATACTAACCCTCTCGTCTCTTGGCTTTGCACACTGAGTTGGAACACCTTTTGGACCCATTTGCCAGTTTGATCACGTGAGCTGGATTCGGAGTCAGTTGGGAGTAGCTGATGACCCCGTACAGTTCTCTGTCCTCGTCGATGAGGTGTGCATAAGTGGTCTTCACTGTACCAGGAGCATAGTGTAGATGTTGAAAGTGCTTCAACATGCAACTCATCGCGAAGGGCTTGGCACAGATTGCACAATGGTAGTGCACGTACAGTCGCGCCTCACAACGACATCGTTCTGAAGTATTAAAAAAAACATTATGAGTCATAATGTGTTGCCAAGTAAAGCAATCAGAAAACTCGCATTCGATCTTAATCAAACTAAACTGTGTATCAGAAGCTCATCCAACAATTTTCAGTATATTTAGAAAAAAAAAAACATTTTCTAATTCTCCGACTCAGTTCGCCAAAAAACCGCAACATGTCAAATTATGAGGTAATATAACATCCAAAAACAACTCTCTTACCGTGCTTCGGTCTTGGCAACTGATCGACCATGTTCTGCTCCTCCATCTGCTGTTGGATTACTTGTTGAGTCTGCTGGGCGTGTGGTTGCACTAACACCTGTTGCGCCAGCTGCTGATGCTCCACGCCAGGCGCAGATGTAGTCACAATAGTATGATGCCCATCACTGAGTGTTAAAAGGTTCCCGTCTAATTGTCCAGGAGCTGAAGAGATCACATGTCCGTCTTCTGTGACATAGTGGTCTGTTATGACTTCTTCCGCTGTTTCTCCCACCATTTCCTCGCCAACAACTATTTCTTCATAGTAACCGTCGTCTAAGAAGGCGACGTTCGGTTTGTCAACCATTTCTGCTCTGAAAAAAAATGTTTAAAAAATTGTCAGCCAGCAGGCCAATCCCTCTTGTGTTATTTTACTTTTTTTCTGAGGTTAAAAATTTGTTTATATATAGCAATTTATAAATCTTTGTTTATTGAGTCAAGCTTTTTAGTTCTGTGCTTCAGTGAGTTCAGCGAAAACTCGAACATATCGATGTTCGTCAAAACACGTTTTCTGCTTTCTTCTGAATTTTTGAGGTTCTCCGAGCTATTCATTTCTTCTGATTGGACTGTCAAGCTCATTTCATTAAACTCAGAAGATTTGGACAGTTCAACTATCATTTTACGAGTTTCAGCGATCAATTTTTCCATACTTTCAATATAACTTCGCGTGTCTTTGTTTGTCCAATTGAAACGCAAAAACTGATTCGTAATCTTTAGGTATATTAGAAAGTTCACTAGGCAGCTATGTCTATCAAATTGCTCAAGAATGTTGCTTTCTTTCGCGAATGAAAAACTCATCAATAAAGCTTTTGGCAGCCTAAAATTTTCACCAGCGACTTTAGCTGACTGCGCTGCTTCTTTTATTACCCCAACAAAAACGCCTAGTACATGATCGTCGTCTTGAAATCCTTCACTCAGTTTGTAAATTAACCAAATGCGAGGTTGAGGTTTGAAGAGAGTGACTATAGATTGAATTTGTTTAACGAAGCGCTTTGGTGCCTCTTCGCTTTTTAACTTTCTGGCACATTTTATCAGGTTGGTAATCATGACTGTCAAATTTGGTATCTCTAAATCATAGTAATCGTATGCACAAACAGGAACTTTCGGTAAATCTTCAATGCAACCAGCAAAGTTTTTTAGAAGTTCGTCGTTGCAAATATCAATGCTTGAAGAAAATAAGCGGGCAATGTGGATTAGCAAATAAGTACTATCAAAAACGAAAGGCAGTTTCTGTTCGGATATCAAGTACTCTAGAAACGCCAAGACAAAAAACCTGTACTTTTTGTTGAAGAACAAAGGCATTTTCTTTTGTTTAAAAGACAACAGCTCAACGACGTTGAAGCTTGGGCTAAGATAAAGGTTTTTAAAAATAAACGCATCTTCTCTAAGCGCTTCGTATAGCTTGACAGGATAAAGATCAACAACTCTAGCTATCACACAGAAATGCTCTAAATCTGTAAATTTTAACTTAGATACAGCCTTCAAGGTCAAAAACCATTGATGAGTATTCATTTGAAGTGATTCAGCATACACTGGAAAATTAGTCAGAAACTCATGTTTGAACGATTCGGGTGAATTTAACAGCAACGAATCAATATTGGAAGCGAAACAATGGCCGTCAAAATCTTCAAACTCTAACAGTTTTTGAACCAAGGGCAAATAGTCCATTTGAGGAGATTCAAAAAAATCTTCAGATTTAAACGCGGATGAATAAAACTTCTCGACTAAACATAGGATTTTACGCTCATTGCAAGGATCGTCATCCATAGCAATCTGTAAATTCATAGAAACAAAACATACCAACAGTTCAAAAAAAATCACTGAAAATTTCAGTTTCCCGTTTCGTAACGAAACTTGGGCCAACTTGACAATATGCACAAACAAATTTGTCGAAATTTTTCACTTCTGTGTACATTGAATCGTGTACGTTTTCAGAACCACCCAAACCTGATTCTAATAAAGTCCTTGATACAATTAGTTTTACTGAGCTCGAGATACGTGAAATATGTCAATCGTTGAACACAAATAAAAGTAAAGGCCCCGACGATTTATCGCCAGTACTTTTCACTAAAACACAAGCATCTCTGTCTCATTCTATCCATCAAATATTTTCTAAAATTATTTAAACTAGGCGTTCTCCAGGCTACTGGAAAGCAGCTATAATCAGCCCAATTCATAACAGAGACGATAAAAATGACATTGAAAATTATAGACCCGTCTCCCTTCTTTGTATATTTTCGAAAATATTAGAGCAAATAATATTTAGGAGAATCTATGAACATCTATCACCTATGTCTCATAGTTTTAAGAAATGTAACATTCGTCTACTTCGGTCACATATGAGGCTTAAGAAAAATAGGCCCTATAACCATTGGCTCAGGAGTCAGGGACACTATCTCTTGTGTTTTTCTACCTCAAAACGGTCGGAGCCAATTCGGTTCACTTGCGACATGAGACTAAAACCCGTTACAGCTTAAAGGCCACTACCAAAATACACCCACTCTAGAAAATAAGAACGTCCCCATACTTAGGTCTCAAAATACCCAAAATACACGAACGCCGTTAAAAACAGGGTCGGAACAATCCGTTAAGTTACTTTTTTTTGGACAGTGGAACTTTGATCCATTTCAGATGGATCAACCTAAAACTCGCCTTATCTCAACATAACTATCACAAAATACACTCGGGAAAATTAAATTAGGTACTCACATAGCAGCACACTTGAGAATTAGAGTAATTAAGTTAATTAGTAACTCTAGCATAAATACGATTGAAAATAACTTGAGAAGTTTGCTATCAATGAATTTCAATCAAAGGAAATGAGTTTTAACTTGAGAATATAATTTTGGGGTCTGAACCGTTGGGAGAGTTCAGTTGTCCACCTTTCCACTGAAGGTTCACTCTGGTTCAGTTGGATTTCGATCTGCTCTCTTGATTGCTCTGTCTCCTATATCAAGATAGGACAGCTCTACTCTCGTGTTTTTTTTACTAGAATCTCGGAAATTGCGAATAGCAATTTCCCGCTGTTTTTTTCTGCCAATTTTTCGCAATTGCAATTCGGTCGTTCTGATTTTATTTCTGATGTTTTCAGTTGTCGCGAGAAAGTTGAGCATGACAGGCTCAATTCGAATTTTTGAAAAATTAAACTTCATCCCAAAACTACGTATTTCGTATCCATCAAGGTCAAACTCCCAGATATGACCGACTGGCACATACTCCCCGGACTCAAGATCGATGTCCTCATCGCGTGCTGTTGTCTGTCAGTGAATCCCAGGAAAACCGAGTGTTGCTCAAGGTACAGTGCCAGTGGTCATTTACAGAAGTTTGCAGCAGACTTAAGTTTATCTACACCCCAAAATTCACAACCATATAAATTTTTCACACTATCGCTGAATAGCAATCAAAATCTGCACACACCTGCAACATTGAATTTTTGCTTTTTAAGCTAGTAATTTAAAATTTCTTTTGTCCTATTCAATCAGGAAATTGTCATGAGGCTTTTTGATTTATATAATACATATAACATATCAATAACAATATCTCATTTGTTAAAACTTCTTTTTCGTGAACCGAGATTTCACCCAAGTGCACCCTCTGCTCTCTTCTTCCCTGTCAAGACTCAAGACTCTAGAATTTCCCATTGAGCCACCTGCTCATCTCGCGTTCATCGCCTTCGAGGTACCAGACCCAGACGTACTTGACACCGTAATCTGTTTCAACAGTGCCTCTTCATCATCGGAGCTAATCACGATCTCTTCCCAGGCTTTCAGCTGTTCATAGGACCGCATCCATTCCCTTTGCTCCTGCATCCCATACCAGGCAGAGGTTTGCGTGATCCGAATACCACACCGTTTGTGCCAGACAGTGGCATGGATATTCACCATGTGTGATTTCAATACTCCTAAGGTTGCGCTCTCCCGAGGCTTCTAGGAGAGGTTCATGTTCCATCATCTTCTCGTGTATCGTATCGTTCTCCTCCACATTTCGAGCACCACCCATCGGTTTCCCGATCACGTTTTGTCTCCCTCAAGTCATCCCTCTGCTCTCTCGGCACTGTTCCTCGGATTTTTCTCAATAACCTGTTTGAGTGATGCGACATCCGAGCCAATCTTACGCACTTGGGCACTGAGAAGGCCTTGTCTATTAATACCCTTTGGCTGGATGCCTCCACCATCGCCATGTGCAATGGGTAGTGGCTGCCGCATAGGTTGGCCATCACTGACCCCACTAGGGACTTCGCATTTAGAGGTAGGCCATAGGCTTCGCTCATAGGAAATCCCATTTCCGCCTCAAGTCCGACCTTCCAGCTTTTGATGTGTTTCTGGGTTACCTGCAACACCCCGGGCCATGACTCCACGCTCAACGCGGTGACCAAATGGTGTTCAGACTCTAGCCTCTCCAGTGACTGCAGACTGCACATCCTTGAGAAGAATCCCAGAGCTGTTGCTATATTCACAGTGGTACTCGCGTAACACTCAGCCACTATCTGTACTTCACTCTTCTCCCTCTCTGTGATATCTTCAAACCAAGTGACTAGATCTTCTTTTTGGAAGGATTGTATCCTAACGCATGACCGTCCATCACAGTCGAATAAAGACAACTACCCGGCTCCATCTTCTTCGCCGACCCTAGTTTACTCGTCGCTTCGCCTGACTCCTTCACCTGAGGCAAGATCAGCTTGTGCAATATACTCAATATTGCCAGATCTTCGTCCTCCGTTGGTGCTAACCTCACTCGCTCCGAGACTTCCTCGATCAGGCTCGCGTGGGGAAGTGGGCACCAGGAGGGCCTTAGCAATTTCCACACCACTCCCAGATTTGCGACTAACATGCCGTTCCCGTTACCCATCTTTAGCTCGACTCTTTTACTTGAGCGCGGCACGCTTATCACCTCTGGTGTTTTCTCGAGAATCAAGCCCTAGCTCGGTCTCTCCCTCTCTACTGTGTCTATTTCCACTATCTTCTCTGTCCAAAACTTTAGTAGCTCCGCTACCTCGTAGTTCCTGTGAGCGCCTTCGGCATCCGAATCCAAGAAAGGTTGTCGCCATCCTCATTTCTCCAGACAAGTACTGATATTCTCCCTTCTTATTGGGTTTCGAGTACTCTCCTGACGAGGCCAAGTTACGGTGTACGTCGTGCCCCTCCTCAAATTTCTAGTTGTAGAATCTCCGTATCTCGTCTAACTTTCTGTGGCTCTCTAGAGACTGCCTGAAACCATCCTCTTTTTCTATCCCAGTACTCTGGTATACATTCAAGATGACTGCTGAGATTCTCCTTTCCAATGTCTTACTTCCGATTGCTCTTTGTTGAC